GGTTTTATTTTGAGAAGATGTTTATGGGGATTTGAGAGGGATGTGATTCGGCCATATTAGGGGACAAAGGGGTGTGAGATATATTGGCTAATTTGGTTTGTTATGGTGGTTGAAATATGGTGGTTGTGAAGTGGAAAGGGGCAGGCCAGGGATGGGGTAAAGAGGGGTGAGATATGGTTGTTTGTGATGGGTTTATACGTCCCACACATCTGAACAAATGGGATGTTTTATTCTTAGCTTTGGAGTGTAGTTGTAGGGCTTATTTGGTGGTTAAAATGGAGGGTGTGTATGCTGTTTGGGTAGGGAACAAAGGGGGTCCATGTGTTGGGGTTTATTATGGGGATGATATGTGTTGTTTTGGCTCTTGTGTTTCGGCCAGAATTGAAGGGAAAAGGATGAAATATTTGTGGGTCATTTTGGTGAGTTTAATAGGGTGTGTTTTTTTGATGAGAAAGGGTGGGGGTAAGGGGGTACGGCCTGGGCAGTAAAGAAAGAAAACAGGCTGTTTGGGTTTATTTTATGGCTAAGGGTTTGGGTTTAGGAGGGGTAAATTCATTCCAAAAAGGATCGTAGGATTTAGTCATTAATCCGGTAATTTGTTTAAGGACTTTCGTAGGTACCGGGGGTATATCATTTGGACATCTCTATATAAATCCCTCTTTGCTTATTTTGTAAAAGTCTTACTCTACTATTCTCATTTACTATCCCCGCCGCCCACTATTAATTATTCTCAATTTCAGTACATATCCCATGAACAAACTTTGATTTTTTTGAACTACAACCCACTACACCTATCAAATAGTACTATTCTAAGAAAAGTGTTGAAAAGTGAAAAAAGTTGTTAGGTTTATTTAGAAGAGAGAAATGTTGTGAGCCATATTTATTTCCTTTAAAGGAAATGGGATGTTTGAAGTTTATTTTGAAACGGATGAAAAAGAAAAGTGGGAACTCTTAGTGAGACGGGGGGAGTATTTATTATTGGAAACCTTTATTGAATGTTGTTTAAAACAGACAAGATCAAAAGGGGAGGGCTTTCGGAGTTTCGGTCCATTCCCCCAGGCCAAGATGGAGACCCTGCTTTTATTTATATCATTAATTAATTTTAGGTTAAACATGTCATATTTCTATATTTTTCATGGTAGTTTTTGTTTGTTTTAACCAAGAAGTTATCAGTTGTTTCTGTTTGTCTTTTGGCACACATAAAAGTATTATTAGTGTCAGGTCTTTGCTAAGCACTGGGAAAAGCCTGACGAAAGTTCATAAAAGTATCATTGAACATGCACAGCTTTCTTTCTTTGACATAAATATCATGTTTTCTAATTTTGGACATCTCTCTATAAATGCCTCTTTGTTTATTTTGTAAAAGTCTTACTCTACTATTCTCATTTACTATCCCCGCCCCCATGATTAAATGATTAATTATTCTCAATTACAGTGTACATATCCCATGAACGAACTTTGAAGTCTTTTTTTTGGAACTACAACCCACTACACCCAGGAACTGAGGCCAGTTAACCTTGAAAGGTCTAAACCTATCAAATAGTACAATTCCCTTGCCCCCCCCCCCCCAAAATAAATAAATAAATAAATAAAATAATGGGGATCTAACCTGTGTTGGTGAGCACCCATGAGACTTATACGTTGGCCCTTCCACTATGAATAAACATGAGAGTCATAATAAAACCATTTTATGCATTGAGAATTGCACAAGTCAAAGTAAGAAATTTACATAGGGACAAACGTAGCACTTTGTAAAACATTTTTTATTTTCTCTATCACGCAATTCCCCCTCTTGCCCCATTACATGTGTGTATCCCTTAACACCCCTTTTTAAACTCCGTATCACATACACCAAACACCTCAAGCCTTTGCCTCATCTTAAGAAATGGGATAGTTGATATAGTTGAATCTCTTTAGTCTCTCTGTGTGTCGTGAATTTTGTTTTAGGGTACATTGGAATTTATGTGCCTTATGCGAGCAATTTTCGGCTAGTTGATTACCAAACTATGAACATCTTCACATCTAACCCTTCTTTCTCATTCGTTTGATTCCCTTAGATCAATCTTTTTTCACCGAGGAAAGTATGTTGAACCAATTTTTCACTTGCATTATTCTGTCATTCGTATCTAATGACACACACTATTGTGGAGTCAGATACACCACATCAAAAAGATCTTGAAGAGTTCAAGGTATTGATGTGACTTGTGAGATTATGCTTTACCATTCCTAAGAGTGAAGGTCAGAGAAACAGTCTTTTTATATGCATATGTGTATGTGTGAGTGTATATGTACAACAACCCAGTCGAATCCCGTGAGAGTTGCACATGTGTGTGTGTGGAAGGTAAAGTTGCGTAATCAGGCCTTGGTTGGTCCCTCATTTGCGTGGACCTTGCATCCCTGCCTCATGTGCTAAATAAAATCATCATTTCAAGTTCTCCACAGAATGAAAGGGAAGTGCACTATTTAATTCGACAATAAAGTAGTTATAAAATGTGTTGTTTAGCAAGTTTTTCCATTGCACTATGGTATTCCATACACATTTATTATTCTTATTATTGTATTTCTTCTATTCCAACCCTTCATCTATAACTGGCATTAAAATGTAAAAGGAGATCACAATTGTACTTACTGGCTGTGGACGGCAGGTAAGTGAGCCCGAGAAGTGGGGCTATCCTCCTGACTGGAAGAAGGTGCTTGTCTACTTTTTTGGGACTCAACAAATGTGAGTGTGACAAGTCACTGTAGTTCTGATCTTTTATATTCTTTATTATCTTATGGATAACATTTCTTTATATTTGCACTCTTATTTCATATGTATCTTGTCATCTCACAATGAAATCATTTTATTTGTGATCTCTTATTATGAACCTATCAAAATTCGTTAGTTTTCAAGACAATTATTTATATTTTTTTCTGGCTATTAAATGCTTTAATAGTAGACTTTTTAGGCACGCAAGTTTTCATGCCCGTATTATCTGGTTGAAGTATCTTATGATATACCTATTCAATAAATTATTTTGCCTTCAGCATCTTTTGCCTAAACTACTCAAGTGATAGGTCATTCCTATTGATAGGAGTTCGTAGACACAAGTTTTTCATGTTTATAAATTTTTGTTGAAGTACCTTACAGTATACCATTCTACTACATATTTGGACTGTTAGGCCTGATATATGCTAAGACTCAAGTGATAGGTTAATCTATTTGATTTGGTGATGCCAAGTGTATCAGTGTATGGTTTCTTGTTCTTTTTCTTTTTTGTTATCTACATTTTTGAAGCCTTAACTTGTTTTTTTTACCAGAGCTTTTTGCAACCCCTCTGATGTTGAAGCTTTCACAGAAGAGAAGAAAGAATCTCTTGTCGGAAAACGTCATGGGAAAGGTGCAGATTTTGCTCGTGCTCTGCGGGAGATAATTGACTGCTATGAGAAGTTGAAAAAGGAGTCAACTAGAAGTGATCTGATGTATGAAATGCCGACAGAAACACACAGTTGTCAAACAATGAAACAGGTCGTTGGAGATTCAAGTGGTCGAAACTGTTCAACTAAAATTGGTACGACTGGAGCTGTAGAGGAAATATCATTTGATGAACAAATGCCGTCAAAAGAGCCTAATGGTATGGTTGAAGGTATGCATTTTAGTAACACTCCCTCAAGAAGGAAACTCGACTCTTTGAGACCACGTATTTGTACCACACAAAAAAGATCATCTAGTAGTTCTTTGAGAAATGACACTTTGAGGAGGAGTCAAAGGACTAGGAAGTTATTAGATGATGCTAACATGGATGGGGTAGGTTCTCCCACATCCTTTTCAAATGATAGTTTTGAAGAGATAGATTCTGAAATTGTTACAGCAGATTCTGATTCCTCAAGCTTCAATGAGGGCAGCAGTGTAGAGTCTGGTTGCAAACTTGAACCTAGGTCCCTGGAGCATTGTGAAGGGGAGGTAGAGTTTGACCACAAGCTTGATTTCCGTGGTAATGCTGTAATACTTAAGAAGAAGAGGAAACCAAATAGAAAGAGATTTCCTAATGTTTCAACTGCTGCTACTGCAGATCCTTTTAAAGAAACAATTTCTGAAACACAGATGGTTGTATCTGGACATAAAGTGTTGAATAATGTTGAGAAGCCAACTGAAAGTTTTGTAAAGAGTATCAAGGAAGATGGTGATGAGCACCTGCCACTTTTCAAAAGAGCCAGAGTTCGCATGAGTAGGGCATCACCTGTGAAGGAACTTGATGTTTCTGTGCAGGTAGAGGATAAAAGGACAGAAGTGTGTAATGCCCCTAGAGAGCAGTGTACTCTGTCATTCCATGAAGGCGATAGTTCTATTGCTCAAAATTTACCCACATCGAATACAAGCCCTGTCAAAGTGGAACAATTTTGCACTAAAAAATTTGGTGGTTCAGTTGCTGGTGAGTCTGCTTTACCTCCGTCTAAACGTCTTCACCGTGCTTTGCAGGCCATGTCGGCTAACACTTCTGAAGACAATCAAAGAAATTTCGGGGGCCTATCAAAAATTAATAATTCAATCGGTGGATGCTCTTCTGTGGGCTATTGCAGTGGGTCATTAGATAGTTGCGATGTAGATAATGAATCTGGAAAGGAGAGAGTGGAGAAACTTCTGATAAATGCTTCAAATGATGATTCCACTCAGCTTACGACAGGAACTGCAGTGCCAGCAGACATCCTTGAAATCAAGCCAGCTAATGTTGGGGAGATACAAGCCAAGGTGGAATCACGTAATGGAGACTTGGTGAAGATCTCAATAAACCACAGTGATATGCCATCAGCTCCAGTTGTATGTGTCAATGACAACCATAAATTCGACGGTTCTGATTTCTCAAAGCCTTCTGGCAAGTCCGCTTGTGAAACCCACCCGTTGTGCTCAGATTCTTTTGAAAGTAATAAAATTGCCACAAATTTGTCCAAAATAAACGACATCGCTCATATGCTTGCATTGGAGGTTAAATGTGGTGAAACTAACAGTGTGAGTCAACATTCATTGGATGAGACTAAACGAGACAATGAAATGTAAGTTATGTTGCTTATCATTTCATCAAAATGGTAGTGTACACTTTCTGAATTCTTGCTGACCATTTTTATCTTGTACACCCCCCCCTTATTTGATTGGCACTGTTTGTTTTACTTTTCCATCACAGAAAATCCGTATTTTGACTTTTTTGTCCCTGATAACAAGAATTTCATGTTCTTTTCAGATCCAAGGCCGAAGAGGGCATCAGAATGATACTGAAGGATGCAAGTGCTATATCCCCACCTGAAAATATAATGAGTTCTTTACATCAAGAGATGCATCTGTCTTGTTCAAGTTCTATTTCTGACGATCAATTGGGTGAAAAACCTGTATCAATTACCTTATCATCGTCGTCTCTTACCGAGGGGTTGGATTCAAGTGCACGAGCATCTCCTCCGAATACTTCAGTATGCAATACGTCTAAATCAGATGGTTTTGTCCTTGATAAACCAAAGGTTGCAGACAAAGTGAGCAGCAAAAGAGAAGCTAGTGCTGCTCTAGCCTATTTTGAATCCATTTTAGGAGCACTGACTCGGACTAAGGAAAGCATTGGTCGTGCAACACGTGTTGCTATAGACTGTGCTAAATTTGGTGTTGCCACTAAGGTGGGGTTATATGCTAATATCTTGAAAGTCTTTTCTGTCTCCACCTTAAATTTGACATCTTTTCTTCTTTCATTTTCTTTTTCCAATGCAGGTAGTTGAAATTCTTTCCTCTGTTTTGGAATGTGAGTCCAGTTTACATAGAAGAGTGGATTTGTTTTTTCTAGTGGATTCTATTGTTCAGAGTTCAAGAAGCTTGAAAGGTACGGTCACTGGCTTCTGATTTTATAGGTGCTCTTTAATATGAGTGTACTTGTGTTATGTTAATGCTATATTTCTATGTACTCTATCTTTTTTCATAAAGATAGCTAATTTTTGGAATCAACGTTGTAAATTGCATGCACCCATCCAACACACTTAGTATTAAGGTGAAGGTATCATCTCTCCATTGGTATATGTTTTCAAATTTTATAAAATTTCAGGTGATATTGGAGCTATATATCCTTTAGCTATTCAAACAGTTTTGCCACGTATGTTAGCAGCAGCAGCTCCTCCTGGAAGTTGTTCCCTAGAAAACCAGAGGCAGTGCTTAAAAGTAAGATTTTTGGGGTTCTTTACCTTTTCATTCTTTTGTCACTTTTCTAAAGTGAATAGGACGTAGGGCTTATGTTTTGCTTTCTTGTTTTTAAAAAAAACAGGTGTTGAAGGTTTGGCAGGAAAGAAGGTTACTTCCTGAATCAGTCATTCGCCCTCACATCACAGAGCTGGAGTCGTTATCTAGTTTTTCTTCTGGTGGTGTAGTCTCTCGGCGCTCTTTAAGAACAGAGCGGACTTTTGACGATCCACTTAGAGAAATGGATGGCATGATGGTTAATGAATATGGAAGGTATGATTCTTATAACCCTTGCTAAATATGTTGATTCATGTGGTGTCATTTTGTGAAGTAATTTATGTGAATGGTGTAATTTCAATTGTATATTTTTTGTTTTTATTTTTTTAGTAAGTTCTTGATAATCCACGTTGAAAAGAAGTAATGCTCCAGCGACCAAGCATGTTGGTCGTAATATCTTCTTCTTTAAGGAGTTTTTATGTTTTCTAATGAACACTTTGAAGACATCAAATCTAATGACTAATAGCAGTATTGAGCATATGATCCTTTATTCATATCTGTAGTTTGAACCAATGAATGGTTTATTCCTAATACACTTACACGCAGTCCCGCACTCACACATAATGGATGTGATCTGTACTATAAAGCAACTTAAAACTGGATCACTTTCGTTTGTTTATATATGCCATTTGCATTTTTTATTTATTTACTCTTATACTCCATACTATTTAATATTACTGTAATCTTTATTACCCCGTTATTAATCTTTTTCATTTTCCTAAAATGCATTAGTATTTTTCTTATATTGTTTTTTGTTCAAATATGCTGGTTTATGTTCCAAATGGGATAGAATAATACACACACACACACACAAATACACACACAGATATATATATACATATATGTATGTATGTATGTATGTATGTATGTATGTATGTATGTATGTATGTATGTATGTATGTATGTATGTATGTATGTATGTATGTATGTATGTATGTATGTATGTATGTATGTATGTATGTATGTATGTATATGTATATATAGGGGTCGGTTCAAGTGAGAATGTACCTTGGTGAAAGAAATAAGAATAAAATCTAGCCTTTGGATCTGATGCGTCGTGCGGCTCAGATTGCATCCTGCACTCAGATTTTGAGATCGTGCATTTTCAAAGGATTTTGGTGCATTTCGACATGACGCATTTTCAAACCATTTTGGTGCACCTAATTTTGATGCAATCCTGACCCTTAGATCTCACAATCTAAAGCACCAAATTCATTCTTATTTCTGTCATAAGATCACATTCTCACCAGAACCAAAATCTCTCTCTCTCTCTCTCTATATATATATACATATACACACACACACACACACATATATATATATATGTTTTAATCTGATTTTGGATGCCTCAATTGAAATTTACCTTTCTCCAGCAACTCAAGTATTCAGCTCCCTGGCTTTTGTATGCCTCCCATGCTAAAGGCTGCAGTTGACTCTGATGGAGAGGGTTTTGAGGCTGTTACTCCTGAGCACACTGCCACAGAATCTGAAGGGCAGGAATATGTTGTCCAAAGCATTGATAAGCATCGATGTATATTGGAAGCAGTTGAAGGTGAACTTGAAATGGAGGATGTGGCTCCTCCTAATGAAGATGAAATTCCTGCCATTAGTAATGGTCCTAGAATGGACACAGAACAGGTTTCAGATTACCCAGTCATAAATCATGTACAAACTCAACCACCATTCCCGAAGGATTTACCTGTAACTACGCCTACTATACACAACAGGGGTGTCGGTGGGGGAGGCAGAAACGGTGGTGGCGGGGAAGGTAGAGACAGTGGTGGTGGGGAAGGCGGAGACGGTGGTGGAGACGGAGGCAGAAATGGTGGTGGAGGGAGGGTCGGAGGTGGAGGAGGAGGTGGGGAAGGTGGCCGTGGACGATCAAAACAAAGAGGACAACGTAGACTGAGCTATAGATTAGGCGTGCATTCAAAGTTCTCTTCAAGTTCAGAGGTGCTCCTTTTTTTTATTGCTGTGGGTTTGCAATAGTTTTTAATCTCCAACATCAAATGTAATCATGTCTCAAACCTTATCATTATCCCAAATTCCCAATTAAACACACTATTTCAAAAAAAGTTGTCCATTTTTGGTGGATTTGAAACAACATTTCCACACAAAAGTCTTCCAAATAAGTTATATCTAGGTATGTTAAATGTAGTTGAACTGAATTTTTATAATATTTCAGTAGGATTGAGATTTTATAAGAGTTTTACACTAACTTGTACCTTGCCATTTTTTAAAAGTTGTACCTACTACCTAGATGAAACAAGACTTTTTTTTCGGGTGGAGGTAGTAATTTTATTTTCTATTGGATATTAGTTTGTACCTTATATTTGTTCCGTGCAATGGAGTGCAGATCAAGAAAGACATTTTAGAAGAATCTGCTCTGCAAAAACCTATCAAAGCAAGAGCTGAACCAAGAATTTCAGATGCAGATCAACATCAAGCTGCTGACAGGAGAGGAATCCATCCATTCAGTAGTGAATCTGCTCGTCATCAATCTGTTTGGACAGCCAATAACTTGCCACCGGCCGATGGAACCTTTAAAAAGAACTCCCGATTGCGTCCGCCACATCCTGCCCCGTCAAACCAATTCTCCTATATTCAGACTGATCAGCAAGCTCAAGCAACAAGGAATGCTCACCATTCTTATCCTAACAGATTTCATCATGCGCATAATAACATTGATAATGTTGATCTCTACAGAGGTCGTGATGCTGGAGAGTACTGGAGGAGCTCGAGTCTGCATTCTGGTAAGATTTTGTTACCAAGAGTCCACTTGGTAAGGCTTTAAGTGACTGAAGTCGAATATGCTGAAGTTGCAGAAGCTATATGACCAAGATGGCAAATCTGCTGAGCTATCTAAATTTGTTTTACATTATGTATTCATATTAAAAAAAAAACAAATGAAGTAAAGAAAAATAGCTAAATATTAAGGTAAATGTACCAATGTGAGCCAAAAACTAACACCGGTATTTTTATCATCATCATAATGATGATGATCATCACCAGGGTGACACGAGGGTCTTACAGTGCTCCGTTTGGATCAAGACCGGGTCCCTTCTCCTCCATGAGCGACCCCCACCTTCCTCTCAAAGGGGGCGAGAGAACCCCTTGACCCAGTCCCCCGGTTTCAGATCCAACAAAGCACCATAGGGCTCTCAAATAGCACTGTCTCACATTATTATTGTTGTTGTTGTTATAATAATAAAAATTATCATCATCATCATCATCAGTCCATTCGGCTAATAGTTAAGTGTTTGGTGAAAGAACTATGGTAGGACAGCCAGACCACAATTAAATGGGCTTCACATGCAGAGTTTTATTTCATGTCTTTTTATAATTACAAGATGCGATTTAGTGTTTGTTACTCTTTCAGGCACATGCTACGAGGACTGTGACAGAGTCCCTTACGACGCTGGTCCGTATACTTCACCGCGCCACAGGGGATATCGTGATCACAGATGGGCTCACCACCCGTCGCGGCCCATGAACTATAGAGAATTCCTGCCCCATAGAATACACTCGGAAGGCCCATTCCCAATAACAAATAGAGGTATTCCTTCTACCTACATAAAAAATCCATGGGATATGTAGTAGTGAATTTTCTTGAGACCGTCTATTTTTTTCAGGTTCCAAGTATTGGAGACCAAGATAGAGTCGCAAAACCCCCGTACCTCTACTGTTTATGGTACTCACCCCTTCCTATCGCATTATCAACTACTCTATCTGTCCCAAAAAAAGACGACTCATTTCTTTTTTTCGGAAGGGCCAAAAATCTTTCCATTTTTGGCAACTTTTGTGAGGGCCAACATCATTGTGCCAAACCCAATTAGACGTCTTTTTTTGGGACGGAGTGAGTATTTAGTAAACACCTGGAGTACAAAAATAACGGCGCATCAGGGCCCCGCTTGATGATTGCATAATTGAAATCTGGATTTTCCTTGTGTTTTGCAGCCTCTGATAAAAATGTGGGGTATGATATCTCTGTCTGTTATTCCCAGTTTGCCCTTTGTCTGTACATACACCATTCCATCACCAATATAAATATGTGATGTAGACTAGAACAACTGAACAAGTGAGCCAAACCCCACATCATGTCAAAGGCATCAAGTTTCTTCCATAGAGTTGTAACATAATCTTTAGGCAGCGGACTTGTTTTTGTAAATGCTGTACCCTTTTTTTCTTTGTTATTTTCCAATACGGAGTGTTTCATTTTTTAGTGTGCTAGAATTTTTATTTTATACTCTCAGTTCTTAGAGTTGCTGTTTTTTCCGTCTTGTAACTGTTCTCGTGTATTCCCGCATTTAATGTCAAAAGATTATTTAATAATCCATGAAGTTTATTCCCTCTGCCCCTCCTAGTGTCTTACATTTACCATATTTGAAGGGTCTGTGTTTGGCAATTAACGTATACCTCATGCAAAAATGAACAATTTATTTGGTAACAAAGTGGCGACTGTGTCTATTTTGATTTATGATATTTAATTGAAATAATTTTTAAATAATTTTATATAAAAGTGTTGAATTAAAAAAATAAAAATTACGGAGTATATATTTAAATTTTAAAAAGTGCATAAAGAGATTTACAAAACTAGTGATTTTACTATATTATTTTTCAATTGTAGCAAATGGAAAAGCCGGAGTGTTTTATTTTTCATCCTCTTAGTGTACTTTTTTTTTCATCTTCTTTTATTGACTTTTCTTCTCTAACTGAAAAAAGTACAAATAATTTTTATTTCATTTTTTTCTTTCCCCTTTACAATTCTCTTGAACCAAACATTCTGTAAAACAAATTAGGGATTTTGGATAGCTTTTAAATGATGCAGATGAATTTTTTTAAAAAAATAAACTTTAAAAATGTTAAAACTAAAAGATTTTCTAGGGGTATCCCACCTCTTCTACACCAAGTGTACCAAGGTTGTTACATAAGACACAAAGATGCCAATTCTTTGGTGTGTCTATGACAAGATTGGTGTACAAAACTGGATATTTCTAGTTTTTTTCTAAAATTAAATGCTAAAGCTGTTCAGATCTTTTTGAGTTGTCACAAATAAAGAAAATAAATGGCCAATGTTTTACTCCTTTTTTCTTCGTGACACATGGCTTTATATTATTTTTTTTTGTGAAATTTGCACTAAATAAGACTAAAACATAATGACTTTCCTAATTTAAACTTAAATTTTTTTATTCCTTAAATAGGACTTAATAATGACCTAGTGAAAGAAATAATGTTCTATTAGTGATGGACATTTACCTGAATAATGACTACTTGATAATGACCAAAGGTCCTACATTGACAAATAAAAACATATGGTCTTATATTGGGAAAGTCATTATGTTTTAGTCCTATTTAGGTAAATTTCTTTTCTTTTTTCTTCTACATAAAACCAAACCATAAATTTTATTTTTTTAAAAAGGAAAATCAAGTCTGAAATTTTTTTTTGACATATCAAGTCTGAAATTTAATTAGAAATAAAGATGATATTTTATGGGACTGAACGGAGCTACGGAGGCGATATTAATATTGCGCTGGTATATAAATAGGAGAGACGCGCCTCGGCGTTTTGTTAGTGCTCCTCCGCCATCTATCTCCCATCGCCGCCGTCAAGGTCAACTTCGATTATTTTTTGCTTGATTATGAAAATAAGATGGGCGGTTCCTTAGCCGTTCCAGAAAAGTCGATTCACGAGTTCCCTGTCAAGGTCCTTCTTCTTCTTCTTCTTCATCTTCTTCCTCCTCTTCTGTTGGAATTTGGAATCCCAATATCTTTGTTTTTGTTTTTGCTGGTACACAGGATTTCAAAGGTAAAGACGTGAACCTCAGCGATTACAAGGGGAAAGTGCTTCTCGTCGTCAATGTTGCCTCCAAATGGTTCTCTCTCTCTCTCTCTCTCCCGGTCTTTTATTGAGCAAAATTACTTGTTTATTTACTATGGTGATGATGATTTTTGTATTTATGTGCTTTATCAGTGGGTTCACAGGGTCTAATTACACCCAGTTGACTGATTTGTACAACAAATACAAGGATAAAGGTGATCTGATAATGATCTCCTCAGATGCCCTCAATTTTGATTCCTTTTCATTTCATGTTTTTTGCTGTTCCGATGCACTATGTACTACACTATTTGAACCTTAATCAGGAACATGAGCAGCTAAAACTTTGTTGTCTTCGCATTTGTGACTTGATCCAGATTTTGAAATATTAGCATTTCCTTGCAATCAATTTTTAAACCAAGAGCCTGGGACAAGCGAGGAAGCACACGAGTTTGCTTGCACTCGATTCAAAGCTGAATATCCCGTGTTCGATAAAGTAAGAGGTCCATGGTATCCCTTTTTTCTGTCCATCTACAATTCACAATTAATGTCTTGTGACTCTTGTTTGCCTTTCATTCTAAATCACATAAACTATTTAACTGATCTTATTTTAGCTTCTATTTGGCTTGATGGAGTATATATAAATGGGATTTTTTTTTCAGACTAATGACTATTATATTGTTAAAACATATATTACTAGGAAGACTCATAAAACTTCCTACCGGTTCAATGTATACTCCTAATGTGTATTGCTGATATTTCCAAACTATCATTCGTTGAATATTGGACTTCTACTATATTTTCTAAACCTTGTTCTTTGCCTCTTGAAACTAATAGATGATGTTCTATTGTAATGCAAGCAAGATTTTTTTTATGAATTGTTTTTTAAGGCTAAATAGTTACTATTTGTTGATGTGCCATAATTGTCCAAGGGGAAAAAATCACTCTTTTCGTGTTGATTCCTACTGATTCTACTATTCTAGTTAAAGCTTTGACAGAAAGAGATGATAAGTTTTTTATTCTTATTTCGTGTGATAGATGTTCTATGCAGTAATGCAATCAGAACATTTTTTACTCTTTCCGCCCAAAACAATAGTAACATTTTGACTTCACGCAGTTTAAGAAAATAATTGTTGAAAAGTAAAAAGTTGGTGGTTGAAATTTGTTTAGAAGGAAACAAAGAATTGTGAGACAAATATTGTTTCCTTTATTAGGAAAGTGAAGAAGTATGAAGATCATTTTGGGAGGAAGGAGTAATAGAATAATCTTCCAGTTGTGCCTAAATAGTTTTTGTGTTTATGTAATGGAATTTATGATTCTAGTGAAAGGTATTATTTTCCACAGAGATTTGTATCAGTAGTCTCTTGGTGATTCTCTTGATTTGTGACCATTTGTGGGTTTTATCAGTTTTGAATGCCTAATTTTTGCAGGGGATGGGAATGATCAAAAGTGTACAATTTTTATTTAGCCTGCATGCTTGTGATTTTTTGCTTCTACATTTTTGTTTTTTGTTTTGTTTTGTTATGTTCTTAGTGTTGGGGAACTAAAAAAAATACAAAGAATTAACCTGCTCTAGGTCATGAGATACCCTAGGTTCAGCTAAGTCTTTAAAAAACACTCCGCACATCATTTACCTCTTTAGCATTAAGACATTATACGTGAAAATCCATTAGAGGGCCACACAAAAGAGGGGTAGTCAAGTTAGAAATTACGGAAATTCTATAGAAAAACAAATAGCATTGAGAACGATGCATTTCTAAGGTAAAACAGGGCATATTGACAGTCATTTTAATTTAGCCCATTAATTTGCCTGAAGCTACAACCTTGTCAACATTGACTCTTTTTGCTCCATTGGTTATGATGAATTAACAGCTATAATTGTTTAACCTGTGGCGAATAGCGCAAGGCATGTGGTAGTTGACAATTGCAGAATAGCTAAAGAAATTTTGCTGAACTTCATGGTAAATTCTTTCTTGATCAGGTGAAAGTTAATGGTTCAGAGGCATCACCAGTATATAAGTTCCTTAAAGCGAATGCAGGTGGCTTTTTAGGTTCGGGCATCAAGTGGAATTTCACCAAGTTTTTAGTTGACAAAGAAGGGAAAGTTATTGGACGTTATAGCCCCACTACTACACCTTTAAAACTTGAGGTAATCTGCCCATGCTTCTTTTACACTCTTCATTATAAAATCCTCTATGGAGGTGTTTGATTCGTGGAACTTTAAGAGCACCTTAGGTAATACTGTAATAGTAACACGGTTACCTACTTACCTCCTGGAAGTCTTGCGGCAATGTAGATTAAATTTAGTATTTTGGTTCACCGAATGTGGTATTACTTGACCCAAGTTTTGCACTTGGAGGGATGTTGATGATATAATCCCACATGAAGAGAGTGGTATTACTTATGTTGTCTAGTTGTTAGGGACAATGTTGGAATACCATAAAGGTAATTCGACAATTGCCAAGTAACTCAAGGCCCCCTACATCACCTCATTTTCATACATGATAGCTATTAGATTACCCACGAGTGATCTGGAAACCTGAACCAAACAAGGCAATCTCAGATTACCGAGGTCATGTAAGATTACCTGAACCAAACACACCCTCAAGGGTTTTGGAGTCTAACATCAATTTCTATTGTATTTCCATATTGTTTCCTGATGAAACATGGTAGTAGGTATTTGTTATCTGAACAATCGTTTAAGTTGCTGCTGGTATTTTTTTTTTCCAGAAAGACATCCTACAAGCATTAGAATTCAAGTGAGAGGTGCTTTATCTATACGAACGATCCCTAAATGCTGAAATCAGAACTCATCAAAGCATTATCATAATTCTTATGGGTATGAAGAATGAAGGGAGGTCAAGTTTACTTACCCAAATGTTTATATGGTATGCTTTGTTTTCTCATTTCAGATGAACCTAATGAATAATCTGCTGTTTGAGTTCCATTCACTTCATTGTTGATTACTCCAGAATGGAAGAATTTACCATTTCATTTTATGTAAAAGAGCATAAACACGCATGCTTTCCCGTGGTGTGATCACCTTTTCTGCTCCCCCCACCCCATCCCGCCGTATTTGTCATTATTTGTGTAGTGAGTGTGGTCTAAATATGTCATACTCTGTACTAGCTAGTATGTTGGGTTTTATTAATAAAAAATCTAATTAAATAAGACCAAAACATTCAACGTGTACCAAAATAAGACTTGGTTTTATCGTTAGATAGGAAAGTTGGTACTGTGAAATGCCTGCAATTTGGCATTTCAAAGTATTTTTTGTCATTATTTGGCATTACAAATCCAATTTAGATATAAGAACATTGAAGGCCTTAGTCTTACATAAATCCAATTTAGATATAAGAAGTACGACCGTACGACCGACGGGAGTATATTTTAGTCTTATATAATACCGAGTATTTGGAAAAAAATACTGACTTAAGTTTTTAATATTAATTTTGGAATGTACTTTCTTTTACTTTTTTATGTACTTTTTCTCTAGCATATCTGATAGATCTTATCTCGTATTTATTACGGAGTATAGTGCGTGTGAAGAAATTAGGTGATGTTAGGGTACACCAAAATAGTGTACCCTATTTGTATATCGGACAAATACATACATCTTGTTTCTGTGATCTATATACATAAATGCCTCTCTTTGCTTAGTGTTTGAATGTAGTATAATATTTTGGTGTTATTGGAAGAATTTTTAGACAAAGAAAGTAATCAGTAATTATTAAAGTGTTACTTCAAGCATTAGAGTATTAAAAATATAAAACCTCACTCACTATTTATGGAGTATATAATTTTTATTAAGCATTTTAGAAAATAAAATAGTTTTTTCATCTCTTTTTTTATATTTTGGGATATAGTTTTTTACTAAAAAAATTTACCAGTATTTTTAAATTTTGTACTAATTTTATGAATAAATTGATTTAAAAATAAATTTCACACAAACAAAATAGTTATGGAATCACTACAAAAACCTTTTTTTAGAACAAAAATCATAACTTACAACAGATGGAGTATAAATAAAAAAATCCTAAATATGATTCGAGCTCCACAATTAAAATTATAATATTCTCTTTGTCCCAAATCAGATTATAATGTTTTGTATTATGAAGTAAAATATTTTATGTTTTTAAAATTGTTTTATTTAAACATTGTATAATACTCACTTCGTCCTAAAATATTCTTTTCGTTTCTGTTTACGAGGTTTGACGTTTTTATTTACGAGGTTTGACATATTTTATTTTTAATTTAGTTTAAGGATAACTTTTTAGGTATGTATGAAAATATTTAAATAGGAGTTGTAAATCTTTTAAGACCAAAATAGGAGTTTACACTGTTTTTGTTACACTGTTATACTTACCACATTCTCACATTGTAACAACTACATTATCACCGTCATATTGTCATTTGTCGCCTCCGGCCACAAGATTACTGTCGCGGATTACTTTTTTATCACACTGTCAACGTGTATTATTACACGACAATGACATTATTCTCATATTTCGGTTTTAAAATACTTATAACTTATACTCCGTATTTTGGTATTATCATACTTTTTTACTTCTATCGTGAAGATTTTTTTTTAATTTGATTATGGGTGTAAAATTAAAAAATAAAATTTATATATTTATAAACTATGTCAAAAGTTCTGATGAATATCATGTTTATAAAATGGACCGAAAAACCCCAAGCGCGTTGTCCTGAGCCCAACGGAGATGAAGGCCATATCAGGATCACAAGAATAAGTTGAGCCCGAAGACTGAACGGAGTAATGGGCCAGGTCCAGCCCGTCGAGTCAGATTGATCACGAGATATAAGGCAACCACAATCCCCTTGATCGTGGGATTTGAAAGTGATTAATGATTGATTCCTCTATTATAACTCAAGTTGAAATATACTCGATCTATATTATTCTTACGAAGTATTTAAATGCAAACTCTTCCCGCCAGCATTGTTGTTGGGCTAAATCCTATCAAGTTTTACAAAATAAAAGGTGATAAAACTATATTATTTTATCAAAAATTCTACAAATTGGTTAAAGTTTGACTGCATGAATAGTACTATCTCCGTCCCACTGTCTTTGTCCACTTTTGACTTTTGGAACTGTTCATCTAAGCACTTTGACTCATCAAATTCTCTCAATGTGTAAGCCTAAATATAGTAATGTGTGATTTTGTTTGATTTGTCTTAACATATAGATTATTAATATATAATTTCTATAATTTTTTAATATATAAATTACAAGATAAAATGGATTTAAGAAGTGTATTGGATGGTGTGCCAAAAGATAAGTGGACAAAGACAGTGGGACGGAGGGAGTAATTGGAAAGAATGTTTTAAGACGGAGAAAGTAATAAAAAACAAAACATATATAAAATTATGACTACAAAAAATTGTGATTAATTTCGAAACGCAATGAATACCACAAATTTTATTTGTTTATTTATAAAGTGGAAAGCAAGTACCATTTCATTTCATTATTGAATTTGATTTACTGATCAGAATTTAATATTAAACGGCGGACGTGAAGTTGAAGTTGGCGCAAGTGGTCCGGCGTCCTAACAGTGTAGAGCTGAAACCCAATCTTGACCTTCCCAAGTCAAACTCCATTAGATTGTCTTCCATTTGGTACCCGCCGATGACGATTGATGACCTAGGGTTCCGGCCTCCGTCCACCACCGCCAGGCACAGCACGTTCTTCCCGGAATCCCGCAGGTCCACCATTGAATTCGACCCCGTGATCGTCCACGTCGCCCCCTGCCCTTCCAGATCCAGAGTGATCCACGGCACCGATGCGCCGACCCGCGTGCTCAGGACGTTCTCTGCGCCGAAGCACACCTCGAAGGGCGCCGCCGCCGCCGCCGATCTCGTGATGTTCCTCGCGGTGGCCTCCTTCACGAACGCCTCCGTCACTGCTTTGAAGATCGAGGTCTCCATCACCGTGTACGGATCTACGGTGCTGATCTTCGTTCCTCCGTTTCCCTGGGCGTCGATTGTCAGGAGCGAGTTATTGAGTTTCACTTCCCTTTCGCCGACTCGGATCGACTTGACGCCGATGAAGTACTCCGCCGACGGCTGGCCCGGAGATGAGGCGCCGGCGGTGCTCACTGGGTTTATCAGCAGCGGGGTGTACGTCAGGAGCTCGGACGCATGGACATCGGGCAGGAAATTGTAGGGGCCGTCGCCGAAGAAGACAACGCCGGTTGATGACGTCAGGCAAATGGCGAATTTCCGGTTGAAGCTGAAAACAGAGGAGAATTGGGAGGGGAGGGCGACTCGGGTCCTGCCCAGACCGGCAATTCCGACCGCGCCCTTAGCCAGCCCCTGCAGCAGAAAACTAGGAGCGCAAGAAAAGACAAAGCCAGAGGCGGCCGCTGGCTTTCCGAGACTCGACCCATCAGTTGAACTGAGGGAAACAACGTCCTGAGCCAGCTCGCCGCCGGTGGAGGTGTGGGTGACAGGATTATCCGGCGATACCCCGCAGGTGTTATTATTACATCCCGGGCGGGGAGCTGAGAAGCAATCCCCGCAGCCATTGGACCCGGCCAGAGAGCAGGGGGCGGACCGGCACCGGACCGGGCGGTAAGTGGTGGAGACGTAGTTGCCGTCACAGTCCACCCACAAGAACTCGCCGCCGAGATGCAGGACGAGGTCGACGGGGACAAGCGGTGACCTTTGGCTGATCCGGGTGAGGTATTGGAGGGTGGATGCGTCTTTGGTGACAGGGGCAACAAGAGCCTTGGGGCGAAAGGAGGCGGCCGAAGAAGAAGAAGAGGAACAGAGGAAGAGGATGAAAAAGGAGAAACAGAGGGAGGAGAAAGGAGCCGCCATTGGAGATGATGGATCGTAAGCAGAGGAGGTGGTGATCCCAACTACATATAGGCATGGATTGAAGTTGTAACGCGGAGAATTGGGTGCCGGCGGCTGGGAATTTTCAAAGATGGATTGCTGTCTTTTGTCAGCGGTTCCTTAAATAAAATGTCAATGTCCAAAATGAATTTTTTTTTCTTCAAAATATATTGAAAACAACCATGCTACGTACACAAATATTAGTATGATCAAAAAGTTTTGTATTAATATTTTATTTCATCGTGTACCATCAAATATTAACTGCACACTTGTTATATACTACTCGCAGTACAATTTGGGATATAACATGTACAAATAGTATTATTCTAGCTTTAGATAAATATAGTACTCCGTTTTCAGTAAATATCGATTGATCAATTTAAAATACTCTACTTCGTATAAATAAACAGAAACATACTCATAGTTAATATACTTTTCAATTTAAATCAACTATACTTTTCAAATTAGCAAACTTTGGTCATTAAGTAAAAAAGGTAGGATGCGAATTAGTTAATATAAAGAAAACATATTACACGAAGGGCATTGCTACGGTACCCTTGAAAAGGAAGGGGCATGGATGCCCCTCTACTCAATTCTTGCCAAGTGGACTCAAAATTAGAGTCATCAATAAATTATTCCACCTCACATTATCTTTTTGAAATTCTAAAATAGTCCTGACTTTTTGGTTGTGTTACATCTTGGACTGCACTTGACGGAACCCTGTTACTCATCACTCCGTCTCTTTTTTACCTTGCCCCATTCATCGCAATCCAGAGAAAACTTACGCCGGCCTCTTCTTCATCGCAATCACAACGCCGCCCCGAAAGAGGATACCACCGCCGTCCGCCAACGCCGCCGCCGATGCTGCAGTTGTGACGCCGTCGCCGAGACATCCTTGTTCCAAACAGAAATTTCAGAAGAATTCGAGATAATATATTTTAGGGTTTTATATTGATTTTGACAAAAGCGAATATCAAACATATTGAGCACATGAATGGATTACCTGGTCGGAAATTGAAGAAGATGTCTCGGCAACGGCGGCGGCGGAGGTGGCGGCGCTGTGATTGCGATGAAGAAGGGGCCGGCCAGAGTCAATTTTTTCCGATTGCAAATTGGTGGTGCGTAAAAAAAAGAGACGGGGTGGAGTAACAGGGCTCCGTCAATGTCGTCCAAATATGTGAACAGACCAAAGGCAGGGTAATTTCCTAATTTTGAAAAGTTGAAATGAGGTGGGCATCACTTTGATTTTCAATCCACTTGGCAAGAATTGAGTGGAGGGGCATCCATGCCCCTTCCTTTTCAAAGGTGGGGGAATCGTAATATTGGTTCAATTGAAGCACCAACGATCCTAACTTCCTTAACTCTCTTTCTAAACCTCTCACACAACCCCAACTCGTACCCCTTATCCCAACCCCACCTGCACCCCTCTTCCATTAATCACAATTTTGGCATAATTAATTCTATCAAAATTGTATAATAGTCAAAGTGTGTTTCTGGTTGACCGAAAATAACAATTTGTAAGATTTTTTAAAGAAACAAAGTGAGTAGGATATTATCCAATTTGAATCAAATTATCCCAAATTTATTTTTGAACGCTTCTTAAAATGTCTTAGATGAGCACTTATACATTGATTGATATCCTTTTCTTCCATCCTTTGGGATTGGATTTGTTTTTTCCAACATCATAAATGGGGTAGATGGTATACTTCTACTCTCTTCTCGAGGCAAAATTTCAAGCATCTTAAACCATCGTTATGGGGACATCTGGACCGAAGTAAGTGTCCCTTCATATGCGCCCACTGTAGAATTAATCTTATGCATAACTACTACTAGATATACTACCAACTTTCGCTTTCTTCTTAATTGCTGGTGTTGCCACAACTAAGAGCACTGGTAATGGGCATAACGCCCGAGGCATTATTGCCCCTTTTAACGCCAAAGGGGCAGCAAACACCGCCCCCCTGGGGCTTCAAAGGGGCTTCATCCTTTATGCTTCAAACGTTTCTGCCCGAAGTAAGTAATTTTTTGTTGTTTTTTAATGTATTTACGGTATTCTGATTTATAAAAAAAATGAGAAATATAAGAAAGAGAAATTTTTTTATCTTGTTTGTGTTTGTATTAAAAAAATGAGATATAAAATAACAAATTACATTATATTTTTTGTTTAAATTTTCTTTCGTAATGTAATTTTTTTTGTTGTTTTTAAAATTTAACATACTTTTTTATTGACTATATTTTTTAATTAATGTATTATTTCAGTTTGCAATATGTTACTACAACCCCGATTTGAATGAAGATATTTTTAGTCGTTCGAATAATCAGTAATTTCTTCATAAAGTAATATAATTTTTTATATTTTTGTTTTCATTACTCAAATCTTATTTGGTTAATTTACCTTTTATTGATTTTTTTATTTAATAATTTATTTTCATTTAAATTTAATTAATTGATAAAGTGTTATTAATATAATTTTAGAAGATGTATATTTAAAAATATAAAAAATAGAGGTTTGAAGCCCCGAGGCTTCAAACCCATTTCTAGTGAAATTTTAGGGTAAGTTAAAACTGATGTGGCAGAGAGAGAAAGTTTGAAGCCCCGGTTTGAAGCAACAGGGCTTCAAGACCATTACCAGTGCTCTAAGAACAATGGGGTAGATGACACCCATTTTGTAAACTGTGTTGACAACAACAATTGAGGAGTAAAACAGAAAGAAAAAAAGAGGATTGAATTTAGAGTGATTCTAGGAGTAAAAGTCACATATTTTTCTTTTTAAAATTTTAAACATTTTTATTTCAAAATTTGAAAATAAATATTTAGTACTCCGTATATATGAAGATTCATCATGGATCTTAGTCAAACAGAGACACTTCAATCATAATTTGTGAAAAAGTATATTTAATTATAATATTCTTTCAATATAATTGGTTTCATCTTAGAATATAATTTTGATATATCAAATTTTTATATCGTTCATTTATGTAGATTACGTTAATTTATGTTCAAAGAATGTCAGTGTTTGATAAAAAAATTAGAATAGGAAAAAATTTAGTACCGGAGAAAGTGCAATTCCTGTGTTCTATTACATATTTCTTACACCGTATGACTTTTACTTGCATTTAATTGTATTAAAGTGTTAAAAAATTACTCAATTAAATAATCACCCAAGTAAAAATGTAAGAAATTAATTATGGATAAAAAGAATTCATCTTTGTCCGCGTTTGAGACGATATATTATAAATTTGGATATATGATATTGTACACTACTCCCTCTGTTTTATAAAAGTGTTCCTATATTGAGTTTGTATAAAAATAAGAAAGTGTTAATTTGTACTCCCTTCGTCCATGTATGATCTTCTCATAACGCGTTACGAAGCTTGACCGACTTTATTTTCAATTCAATTTAATTGATTATAGAAGTAAAATTTTAAAATAAAATTTATATAGTAATAAACTACATGAAAAGTTCTACAAAACTAGAGGTGACAAGAATATATATTATTTTATGAAATGACTAGTAAAATTGAGTAAACAAAGTGAGTAAAGTTTGACCCTGTGAATAGTGACTGAGAAGATCTATGGTGGACAGAGGGAGTAGTTGACTTCCAATTTCGTCCTTGATTTAATGGGTAAAAGTAAGATATGATAGATTGAGTATTAGAGAAAAAGTATGATGTGATACGTGAGTTATGAAAAAGTAAGGATAAAAAAGGATTTTTAATAGAAAGTAGAAGTGTTTTGTTGGAAGTAAAAAAATGAAAGAAGAAGTGTTTTTGAGAACAGGGGGAGCAATATTCATTATATTTGTGTATTTCTTTAGTCGTTGGAAGAAATTGGAAGTTGGAGGTTAAAAAAAGAATTAAAATTATTTAAAAAACTTTTCCCCCAATAAAAAAATCAATTCCAAAAGTAAAGTAAAATTATTTAAATGAAAGTAAAATTATTTAAATAGAATATAAAGAATTAAAGATAAATTATTTTTATTTTTATAGTTATACACTATGCAGAACATTAAATATGATGTATGGAGTATTATGTAATTTTATATTCAAAATTAGTTTTTTTATTATTTAATCATGTTCTTTATCCATTTGAGAAAATAATATAATCTTGTCATTTTTTGTATTGTAGAATTTTTTATATAGTTTTTAGATATATAAATTTTAGTTTGAATTTCATACCAATCTTTGAAATTCAGTTGAAAATAACTTTTCTCAAACTTAATAAACAACAACAAGCGATTTAAACTGAAACAAAGAGAATATTTAAATACTTTAGAAATATTTTATTTTACTTGTTTTAAATTAGTTTGATATAAAATATAGTTCTTAATCAATAATTTAATAGTACCTTTAAAAGGTTTCAAGAGCACGACCTCTAAACCCCGCCTTAGAGCATCTACAACGCATGTTGTATATTTTGGTAGTGTAAAAGTAATTTTACACTATCAACAGTGTTTTACACATCCAATTTTTTATATTCACTCCAACCATATCTTCTATTTAAAACACTTTTATAATATTTTATTATTATATTATTTTTTACTGCCTTTATATCTACTCTCCTTATCCAAAAATTCATTTCCCAATTTAATAGCAGACCTATTGCAGAAATTTATCTGAAAGAAGGTTTGAGGAGAGTACCAGTTTTGGCTTCCAATTTTAGGGCAGAGCAAATTGAAGAAATGAATAAAATCAAAGGTGAATTAGAGAAAGGGTACAGATTGCATCAGTTTTGACTTGAAAGAAAATTGAAGCAAATTGAGAAAGGGATTGGGATGAAGAATTTGAAGCAAAATGAGAGGAAGAGCCGAAGGGGATGAAGAAAAAAAAAAGAGAAAACAGTGAATACACTATCTACAGTGGCTGTGTAGAAATAAGAAGTGGGACTTGATTTTTGCACTATAGTGCTTTTTAGCTTTTGGGATACACTATGTGCTGGAGGAAGATAAAATGAATAGTAAATTGGATATAGGGTATATTTAACCATATACACCTTGCCTTGGAGATACTATTACTATTCCATCTTATCATTTGTATTTCTGTATCTACTATTGAATCTACCATTAAAGTAATCCATCATATTATTTTAACCACGTTGTTTACTTATTTTTGCTAGCTATTTGTGAAAATCATATAATCATTTTGCCTCTTATATTGTACAATGGAAATTTTAATATAGTTTTTAAATATTTAAATTTTATTTTTAATTTCGTACCAATATTCAAAAAATTAAGTTAAAAATAACTTCAGTCCAACCACATAAACAGTACAACTTAGAACGAGGGGAGTATTTATATACGAAGTACTTTTCAAATACTTTGTTTTACTTATTTTAAATTATTTGATATAAAATTTACCTTTTAATCAATAATTTAAAATTACTTTTAAAAAATTTCAAGAGCACGACCGCCATGCCCCGTCTAACTACTTCCTCCTATCATTTGTATTTCTAGATTTGCCAGTGTATCTACCATTAAAGTAATTCATCATAATCTTTTTATTGATTATGAAAAATGGATAATTAATTTCAGGAAAACCAAATCCAAATAACAAAGAGATTGTATCGAAGTGATTGATGCAAAAGTGGAAAAAAATGGATATCCAGAAAAGTTTACACAACTGTTCCCAAAAGGCACAAAAAATAGCTTAGCATCTCTCTTTTGTCTGAAGGCAACTTGAGAAATATGGAGGAAATAACATTAAGGCGCATAAAACAGATTAGGGAAATAAACTCTCCATTAGTACATGATGTGTTTACAGAAACAGATGGCCCAAAAACTATGTTAAGCGCCAAAAGCCACCTAGCGCCCGCGTCCTCCTCGTCCACGCCCCCTCCCCCGCCCTCTCCCCCTTCCTAGAGGCTTTCCTGAAATGACGGAAGGAGACAAAACATAAGACAAGAATAGTGTTAAAGAGTAAATGGAATGAAAAACTACACTGTCCTTATACATACCAGCAGTAGCCTTCTTAGGCTTCACCCTGGGTGTTTCTTCAACTAGCAAAGTCTCAAGATTTATACTGTCGGGCAGTATATAATAGCGGATGTTGTTTCCCCTTAAGCTCAGATGATCCATTGTTACCGGATTCTTCCCTTTCGGTGTTAATTTTACAGTCTTCAAGTGTGTGTTCATGCTGACATCAACGCCTGAATGCAACACGATAACACAACCATTGCAAAATTGAGATTCTTAATGTGAAACCAGAACTCCACCATCCTCAGTTCTCACACCTTTGAACCATAACTGTTTGAGACTATTATACTCCATTGAATGACGGTTCACGTGAATCAAAAAAATTGACAAACTCATTTAATGATTGGGGGAAGATATAAATCTCAATCACCTTGATGAAAGACAGTGCTTATTTATTGTGTTAGAGACTAATTTGCACACAACATGCTTCTACTAAGAAGCGGAGTAAAACAACAGGAAAAGAAAACGCTTTCAGAGACCAAATATGAGGGGGGTTTATTTTTGAGAACCTTCACCATTCAGTCTAAGAAAACCAAAACCACTACACATTGTTCACAAACAATACTAACAAGCACCAAGTAAGTGCTTAGAATTACGATGAACGAAGAACTTATTACTAGATTCAATCTAGATAGATAGTTGGACAGCATCACTAGTCAATAAAGAATTGCACTTTTCATACATCTCAGTTGCGTGCAATCCACACACCCTGTTATTTATTACTGTGGATTTCATATCATATGAAGCCCCGGATTTTCTCCCTCTCCCCAACAGCATTGAGATTGTCTGGGAGGGAGACAGTCATGACCAGAGGGTAACACTCTTCACATTACTAACACTGAATGTAACTATTATGTTTATATCAGCCTATCCAATACTTCCTACCCAGAATTGATACTTCTATTTTATAAGCAGAAGTACTATGATAACACAATTTGTTGCCCAATCATGTTACGGTCTCGTGCAAGTTCAGTTTTTGTGTTGTAGTTATCAAAACACTATCCCACATACAAAGTATGATATCCTCCACAGAGACCTCAGGACAGTTCTTAACATGCCTAGAATGCTTGAAAACAAGAAACACGCTAAGAAACGAAAGATAAGGCTGTAAATAGAGGTACCGGTGATGGTTCCATTAGCGACGGTGCCGTTTTTCAGCTCGATCGAGACAGTTTCGTTGTTCAATTTCATCAAAAACCTGCGCGAAAAGAAAGTTGAATCGATTTGCTAACCCTCGTACAAAAAATAAGGAATTACATTACTGAACACTGACCTGACGAGCTTCATCTTCGAGAGCGAATGAAGAAATCGCTGCCCGGGGCTGCTTCTTATGAACTCACTCAACAAACCTCCAATGGAGTTAGGGTTTTGGGGCGATTTCAATTTTCGTGCAGAGCGACGACTTCCCCCTTCTCCTAGTGGGAATGAATCGTTCGAATACTTTTTTGGTTTTTGAATCTGCCAATTCTTAGCCCACTTATAGATGGCCTAAAAGGGATGTAAAGCCTATGAATATTTTGACGAACATTCCAGGCCCAATACATAATTCTTCACTCAAGTGAAAAAATCATACTCCGTCGATCTCAATTTAAATTACTTATTTTTTACCATATTTGACTGAAATTATTTTTTAATGTAATCTATTTAAGAACTAAATAAAAAATTTTACAAAAAAAATGACATGATTATTTTAATTTTTTCAAATGGATAACAAAAATCAATAAAGATTGTAATAAAAGTTTGATCGTATGAATAATAAACAAACCATTTAAATTCTGATGCAGTGTGTAAGAATAATTTTAATGCAAATGCTATGTGTACACAAATTGATGTAACCAATTCTCTAAAAGATACATACAAACAACAATTATCTGTGTGAGCAAGTAAACATTCTTCGTATGTGCTTGTAACACATTGATGTATAAGTGGTGTAACCTAGTTTGGTGTACACCTAGCATATCTCACTCCATGATTCACACCAAGCATATTAAAAAGAATTATGCTAAAGTCTATAAAATGAGTATGAATATATGAATTGAGTTGTTATTTCAATGTTCACATGTGAAATGTAAACTTTCTCACATTTTTTATATACTTGCAAATGATTTTTTTTATTTCATTTTTTGTAAAAAAACTTAATTCTTTTATCCTATAAGTGCACTAAAATGCATAAAATAAACATGAATTATAGAATGATATAAGAATTTGCCTATAAAAAATAGACCTGCAATATTTTAATATTAAATACTCCTGCTAGGACTTATAACACCAACAAGAGAAAAAGATTAAAATACGAGTAAAACATTGAAAGTATATCAAAATATGAATTCTATGTATTTATTCTTGAAATAGGATTTAAAATGTAATTACATTATCAATTATGATTATGTACATTACGTAGAATGACATGTACAGTGTCACATTACTATATTGCGAACTTCTATTTAGGAATAAAAATATAAAATTTTTATTTTGATAGTTTTTTATATGTTTTAGTCATATTTAAGTTGATTTTTTCATTAAGAAACTAAAATACGAAGTATATTGTATATACCAGTAATATTGTAAAATCTTATTCTGTAAATCCATAATAGACTTTCAAATTATGGATATTTCACACTTCAACACTTTTATTTGGAAAATAAAACAATATGAGCTCTTCTTTAAATATTGTAGACTCTCCATATTCTAGTGTTTTTTTTGTATCAATTCAACTTTTTGAGAAAACTTTAAATTTTAATGAAACAAAAATTGTAAAGTATGGAATATATATATATTAGTGTAAAAATTATTCTATTAAATTTATCTTACTAAAAACTTACATGATTTTATTTTATTATCATAACATGCAATAAAGTATGACTAATTAAAGATCAAAATTTATCCAATTTAACCAAAAAATACAAAAATTAACAAAAAGAATAAGACGGATATAGTAATTTTTAAGTGAAGAATGATAGGGGTACACCATTTGGTGTACGCCTACCATTTTTCTTTTTAAGTTTATGAATTTGTCTATCACTCATTCACTCTCACTTTCACCGTACCTACTCCCTTCCCTCCCCCCATATCGGGGACTCAACCTTTTTTTTCTGTAATAAACGCAATTTGGCTAGCTCTTCGGTTCCATCGCCATCCTCGATCAGGGTATTTCTTTTCCCAGTCTCCATCTTCATCTCCGCGGTTTAATTAGAGCATTTATTACTACCGATCCTGAGGTGAAGTTTGAATTTTGATTTCTTGGGTTTATTAAAAAGAGTTTTTTTTACAATAAAGAAAACAAGTTTAAAAATTAAGATGTGTAGTTCAAATTTGTTTGGACAAGAATTTTCAAACCCCCATTTTCCTGACAAGGATGTACAAGCGTTGTTTGGTTCGATTTGGTAAATTTCATCTTTGTCAGATTTCTATTTGCTTAGGCAAAATAAATCTTTTTGAAGGGATGATAGATAAGTTTCATAAAGTTTGAATTTTGTTATCAAGAACCACAAAGTAGTGATAAAGAAGAAATTCTGTGATGTTTTTTTTCACCTAGAGGCTTAAAGTTTATCTATTTGTTCTGCTGGTATATTCACAAGGCTTGTGAGCTTATGTTATGGTGGTTCTTCCAGTGGAATGCAGCTTGAAGCTTCCATTCTTTTGGATTTGCATGCTTTGGGGAAGTTGTTCTAAGATTGAACTCAGAATTGTTTTCTGCAGGCCATGGAAAAGAACCCACAAAAAGTTTCAAATCCATCTGCAAAGAAGAAGACACCATCTAAGTATAGTAACTCTAGTGTTAGAAGATCTTGCCGGCTTCAAAAGCTTGGCTCACCGGTCAGGTCAGAACTTGCTGCTGAGAAAATTGATCTTACTGCGGAGGAGACGCCACAGGCTCAGCTTATTGACTCTGGTTACTCTGAGGAACAAGTAGGCATCACTCCACTTGTGCATGAAATGGATAATGGTGATGATGAAAAACACGTTGATGAACAAGTGAGCATGGAAGAGAAAATTGACTTCCTGTACCGGACATCAAAAGAACCTAAAAAATCTAAGGTGCATTTTTTCTTGTATTTATATTTCTCTGTTTTTTTCTATTCTATAATAAAATTACAGTACAATTCGAACTCTCGAACAGGCATCCAAACACCCCTTACCGAGTGGAACAACGTATGAGGATCTCAACTACAAAAGCTTGTATATCGACTCCCACATAAAGGTTTAGATTATCAACTACACAATGTTGTTTTCCCCTTCAATTTCTGCTACAAGTGCTGCTCTCTGATTTTGTTTTTTTTTCCTTTTCAGAATGAGGCCTTGGCAAAGGAAAACTCAAAGCTAGCCAAGGAATTGGATTATGCTCTTGGGAAGATTGAAGCTGTGAGATATTACCAAATCTTGTATTGTTACAATGTTAGCCAAACTTTACTAACCCAGTACTCTATGCTTTAGAGGAATATGTAACAACAGAACTTCATTCATCGATGTTTTCAGTATGAGAAGATGAATGGTGTCATTGGAAAGCAGAAGGAAATGATTGTTCTTACAAATTTAGGCAAAGCTGGTGATGGTGTCATAAATCTATCTCAACTAATGGCTGCTACACCAAACTCATCCCTAGAGACGCCCGGAGAGAAGTGTGGTGCTGATAATGGCGGTGGTGGTGCCTCTAAATCTAAGGGTACAAAATGTTGCAAAAGAAAGATAACTTCTTAAGATGCTGTGTGAGGATGTCGTTAATTAACTTCTTTTTTTGTTATGGAAGCACAAACTTGTAGTTGCTATAATAACTCTGGTAGTATGGTATTAGTTATGGGAATAGAACTAATCAAGGCATTTGATGCCAGTAGCATTATGGGGGTTCTTCCAAATTTTGCAATTTCCTAGAGCTAAAGGTCAGTTTTGTATGTTTATATTTTTTTTGCCAGGAAAACCCCTTCAATTAGTTATTCAATGAAAATTGTTCCATTGAACCGCCCTGATGAGGGTTTAGCTTCATTTCTTATACCCTTTATATGATTTTGAAACCCTGTATTTAAAACAGAAGAATACATTTCACTCTGCTGCTATTGCTGCAACACCAGAAAGCCGAACGTATCACATTGAATGTCGAAAGCGCGAGCTTTAGAGAGCATGTTTGGGATGCCTTGGCTACAAGTTTTTTTATAGCTACAAGTTCTTTTATAAGTGTTCTTTCTAAGTTCTAACAAGTAACAAGTGCTTTTTCCCCCTCATTTACTCACTAAAAAAAGTGCATTTACTCAAAAGGCGTCTTTAAGAATAAAAAAACCTTACTCTTTATTTGCTAAAACTCAATATATTTTCATACTAAAAACATCTATTCTCCTAAACGAAGTTTGTCTAAGGCAGTTAAACACTCTTAAGAGCATTTCCTTGACAGGTTTCTTTCAAAGGCTTAAAGAAGGATTTGTTAAAAGCACTATATAATACAAAAAAAAATCTCTATGGTTCTTCTTCATCAAAACTCATGTTGTTTATCCTCCATAGTGGCATCAATTCCATCATTCTTGTTTTTTTCTTTTCAATCTTCATCGTAGCAGTCATCGAGGGTTTTCGAAATTCCTCCGAACAAATCTTGTGAAAGAGATGGCAACTGTCCTCCTCCGGTTACATCATTTTGTTCATCTGGCAATGAAGTAAAATCCATGCTCATACCCATGCCTCTCAGCAAGTTCTCATAGGATGCAGAGATATCTTCTGAGGCAAACTGATGGTATTCCACTTGCTCGCGAAGGCACTGATTCTCCCTACTCAAGTTTGCATTCTCATTTGCAAGCCTTGATTTCTCTGCCAGAAGTGCCTCCAATTGCAACCTCACCTGGACATACACATATGAAAAGCATCACACACATGATTTTAATCCACGAATAGAAGTTCTTGATGGTCCAAAAGAACTAATAGTGGGAATGAGCTCAAAGAACCAATGATTATAAATAGTAATGCTGTAAAAATGGTTCAAGAAAGTTTTACCAGATCATCTTCTTCTTGAGGTGGGATCACCACTTCGGGAACTCCAATGCGGAGCTTCCTGTTTTCTTCCTCCAGGAAAGCGCAGCGTTCTTGCACAGCGCAAAGATCCGATTTTAACGACTTTAGTTCTCTAGCAAATGCAGCCGCTTTGGTTGCCATTGAAACAGCAAGCTTTATACATATATATACTCACAAAGATTAGGCCTTTAAGCTTTTTTTGTGAGCTGCAAACGACAATCATATTGCAGTCTTTATAAAGAAAGTACAAGTGAAAATGATGGAGACTGACATTTTTGGCTTTCTTCAGCTTCCCCAGTTCCTTGGCACCCTTCAAACTTCCATCCTTAGAATCATCATCACGTTCAGTACCTTCATTTGGATCTTCTGAACATTCTTGGGATTCAAACTTTCTCTTCAATGCCCTTTTTTCGATTCCACCTTTCACATCTTCCTCATCTGGTTTGTGATTCTCCTCACTTTTGGCCTTCTCCAAATTGCAGTGAAGTATTTCTGTCAATGTGGGTGGGTTTGCCAGATCCCTAGCTCCCTAGTAGACCAACACACAAACCAATCAGACAGGCATTGTTTCTAAATCTCTCTCTGTTTCAAGAATTGGATGAAATTTAGGAAAATGGAAATCAACGGCTGAGATTAGCTTACCTGAAGGGCACTCTCAAGATTGTTGGAGAGCTGAGATAGAGTGGAAGAAACAGAGTCAAACCCTCTGATGAGCAGCAAAGCATCCTCCTTCATTCTTTTCGCTCTCTCATCTGCTCCTTCAGTCTGGCACCATTTTTTTTATCAGAGTATTATAAAGAAGAACATAACCGGAATCAAAATTTGAAACTAAACCCAGAGAGAAAAAAAGAAGGGAAAAGCTACAAACTTGGTCAATGGATTTGCGGTTTTCAAGAAGAGTATCGACCCGCCTGCGGAGAGTGCTCCAGATATGCTGGTCTGGAGATGGAGAAGGATCCATAGGTATGGGTGATGAAGATGGCCCCTGTAAATGGAACTAAAAGGTTAGATTTCTTGGTTATTTAAAAAAAAAGAAGATGAAGAAGAAGAGATTCTTGAGTCAGTGAAAAGCCATCCGAGGAATCAACCTTCATGAGAGACGGAGAAGACGATTCCACTGAGATTGCCATACTTGATTTTCTGGGCTCAGAAAGTGAAAATTAAAGAGGGAGAGAGAGAAGTAGATCTATGAGATGGAGAAGATAAACTAGAGAGTTGGCAACGGCTAGTTTAGCATTTAAATAAGTGGGTGTTTAATTAATGTCATTTGGTCTTTGACAACTCCAACGTTCGAATATATCTTAAAACTAACCCCTCACTCACTCACCGGTAATATTAAAAAAAATCGCTCAGAATAGAAATAAAAATAACACTTATCTTTAAAATTAAAGTTTCATATTTTTTCTATAATAAAAATTTGTATGACAATATTATGACCCGGCGAACTTCTCCCCTGGCTTGAGTGGTAGCAAGCCCACTCCTCAGGATTCATGGGGAAGTTCACCCATGTTCATGCCCCAACGAAGGCAGCAGCATTGGCTCTTTGTGCATCATTAGCTTAAGAATAATATGAATATATACTACCTTGTAATAGAGTCAATAGCATTCAAAATTATGACCCGGCATCTCACTGTATTATTGCTACTATTAGCATTATTGAAATTGTACTGAAGATAAAAAACAAGAAACTTCTATTTTGATTCTTTCTTCATGTTTTACTCTTATTTAAGTTATTTTCTCTAAAGTTAACTTACTAATTGCCGTATTATAAAGACAATATTTTTCCAATGTTTTTTAATTTATAAAATACATATAGGTTAAATATTCATTCGTGTCAATAGAGTCATTTAAATGATATATAAATAAGTCATTTGAGAGTATTCATAACTTATGAGAAATATTCATATTAATATTCAGGTCAAAACCGGATAACCAAAAAAATTAATTTAAAAATAAATATGTACGACTTATTTAATTTTTTTACTTATCCGTTAAAAAATACTCCCTCCGTCCCAAAAAGAATGGGACGGTTTGACTTTTTGGGAAATTAAGGGAGGGGTATTTTGGTATTGACTTTCCAAAAATACCCTTGATGTGATGGGTAAAAGTAGGATGTGATGTGTAGATTATTAGAAAAGGGTATGATGTGATAGGTAGGGTATGAAAAAGTAAAGGGTAAAAGAAGTACAATTAATTATGATTCCTAAAACTTGTCAACTTGATCAATATAGTGACTTAAATTCGTGGGTGTATGTATCTAGTATGCCCTTGCAGCTTGCACATTACCATTTCTATCATAGTTTGAAAAAGAGATCGGACACCGAACCGGTAAGGCACTAATTCATTAATGTACTGGTCGAACCAGTTGTTCGAGTGGTTGAACCAGTGATTTATAATCAGTTTAATTTAATTATTTAATTGAGTAATATTTAAGAAAATATTAAAAATTCTATTAAAATAATATGATTTTATTTTTTCAAGTTATTTAACACAATATTTAAAAATACTCAAATGAAATATTCGCATGAATGCATTTTGTGATAATATTAAATATATGAATGATTTATGATTTTAATCAAAGAAATAACAATATATTTTTTAAAGTTTTTAAAAAATAAAATAAATCCTTAAGAGTCTTTATTTTTTAACTATTAAATATTTAGGAACATTAACTAAAATATAACAAAAACATTCTAGCTAAGATGGTCTACAACTAAATCAGGTGTCTAAGAGATTACGCCTTCAAACCCCCTCTTGGACAAAAAACAATATTTTAAAACAAATTTGCCAAAAAACAAATTTGTTCGACTGGTCCGACCAACTGGTTACTACCTGTTCACACCGGTTCAATTCATATTACGGTCGAGAGGACTAGATCGAACCAGTCACACCATCGATTCACAATCCGAACTAGCCGGTCCAGACCAGTTTTAAAACTATGACCTCTATTCTCAAAGGAGAGCATTCAATATACAAAATTATAACCCCATGCCATCCAATTTAAGTTGTTTATTTTCTATCCAAATAGTCAAACGTTAATCATGTATGTTACTCATTTAAGTAATAATATAGTCTTGTCATATCTTATTTGTAGAACTTTTAATTTAGTTGTTAAATAAATAAATTTATTTTTTAATTCATTATAAACTTTCAAATAAATTAAATTAAAATTAACATCAGACAAACTTCATAAGCACTAAGAGGCAATTCTTGTTAGAATAAGTGTCGTTCACTGGAGGGATGTGAGGTGAATAGTGAGGCACAAGAATGTTGGTAAATTTTCGCGGAATAAAATCGCAAGAAAAAATAAAGTGTGGAATTAAAAAGGCGTAAGAAAATAATACACCGATATACACTACTTTACCATAACGTGTGGCTACATTCAATCTTCTGAGAGACTCTTTTGAGATACACTACTTCCGTTAACTTACGGATGCTTAATAAACCATTACAACCTGAGAACTCGAGTCACTCGAATCTCAACACACATGCTCGGAGATACCACACTCCAGCACTTCAACCCGAAAGAATGTACCCTTCATTCGTACAACCAAGGGAAACAAAAATATCTCTATTCCATAATTAAATTTATTTAATGATGTTGAAATCCCAAAGAATAATAGTTTAAACGTTGCACATTTTATTTTGATGAATAACATTCTATTATTTAACTAAATTAATTAACATATCCTAATAGATAATAAAAAATTATATAATTATATACAGTCAAATCATAAAGCTTCTAAACCTATAGACCATAAATTTTGTAGCAATTAAATAAAATTAAAAAATAAATATAATTACGAGTTTATGTAATTATGTGTACTAATTTTTTTCTACTTGAACAGTATTATAACTCAATCATATTTTGTTTTTTAAAAATTTTAATGTAATTTTTAAAATATATTGTTTGTCTTTTTATTTATTTTATATCAATATTGAAAGAAATAGATCCAAATCTTACTTCATTTTAACTTATCATAAATAAATACTCATATGAAATTTATTTAGAGGTAAATAAAGTAGCATATTACTTAATTGAAAGTTTTGTTATATATGAAGAAGTAAAAAAATACTGAATTAGGAAAAAATATTATTATATAAATGAAGATCACTATTTCATAATTGAATTTATTCAAAGATTTCAAAGCAAAATATTTATTTCATATTTTATATGTATTAAATTAGGTGTAAAAAAGTCACACAAGTAATTAATGCACATGTCAAATTTCCAACGATAAAGTTTTATCTTTTTATATAAAGGTTTTATTGAATAATTTTATTCTTAACAATTTAATATTTAGGATTTATTGAAAATTTTATTTTTGATGAAAAGTAAAAATTTAATCCCATGTCAAATATTATTGAATGAAGTTTAGCTCATAAATCAAATGTCACACAAAATATCTCGTGCCATATGTATATCTGATATTATGTCACAGTTATACCTCATATTGTGTCAAATGTCAAATTCTTATGTATTAGAGTCTTATATAATAACTTGGTGAATTGGGGTATGAAATTAGTACCCTATAATCTAATTCAATTATCAGATTTGATTCGATTTACAAAGTAAAGAAAGTAGCCTGTAGCCATAATCAGATTTGATTCCATTTGCAAAACTAAACATAGTGGGCCACACCTTTATAATTTTGACCTTTCTATTTAGGTGGGGGAACGATAATCAAAAAAAGGAAAATGTCACATAAGCGCAAAGTAGACGATAGTTGATGAATGATGCACGATAATTAATTAAGTTATTCACGCTTTAATTAATGGAATATGAGTCATTAGTTAACCATGCATTCATGCATTGAGTATTAATCAAATTTTAAATAATAGTTATAAGCTTTCTTGTCCTTTTCAAACTTTTATTTCTAAAATGAACATACGTATCAAAAATTTAAATTGATAGTTATAAGCTTCACTCTTCTATATATGTCAGTGATATTCTTCTTTATATTCTGATGCGAGAACTTCAACACTACTCCTCAAGTGGTAACTAGCCCGGCTTAGATAGGATCTCAATCTCTTATGAGATACTCATACAATTCAACGGATGGTGACATTTCAATCTCTTATAGCTAACACATTCCAAATCAAGAATGGGTAGCTCATATTGCTAAACCCACGTCCAAACAACCAGGAATAACGCAACCAAACCGGACTTGATCGTATATTTAGAACAACAAATAGAGTGTCAATTAAAATTAACCACTTGCGTATAGAATTAGAATCTAATTTCTAACCCAAAAATCTAAGCTAACAGGTAGAGTTTCACGTTTCTATACACTGTATATGATAGTGGTATTCTTTTATGTTCTGATGCAGGGACTCCAACCCATACCTAGCCCGCAACCCTAGCTAGCTTTCAACTCAACAAGATTTAGATCGTCTTTTTATGTTTTAGTATTTTAGAGCTACGTAGTATTTTTTTCTTCAGAGTGCTACATCATAATTTATATTTTAACTTGTGAGTTGTGAATTGCAAACCATTGAACTAGAGAAACTTGTGAGCAAGTTTCGAGGTATGAGTTGTCAGCAAGAAAATAAATGTGATTCTAAAATACTCACTTCGTCCCAAATTATTTGTCACATTTCTATTACCGAGGTAAAATATCAAGTTTTTTCAATTCATTTTATTTATATATTGGTAAAGAAATAAAAAATAAAAATTACATATCAAAAAACTACATGAAAAGTTCTTCGAAATAAGAGATGTCAAGAATATTTTATTTTATGAAATAACCAATGAAAACGTAGAAATAAAAAAAAGTTCCCGCGACTGTTGAAAAAGTATATGTGACAAATAATTTGGGACGGAGGGAGTAACAATTTAAGTTTTTGATTAAGCTAGTTCTTGACATGATATTGAAGTGTTGTTGATCAAAAGATCATGAGTTCACACCTTATTACCGCCACTAGTTTAAGAAAATATAATCAATATTCACGAGCAAAACTCAAACAAACATAAATCTCGTCTGCATGTAAAATGATCTTGTTAGAAAACCTTTTGTCCACTTAAATATTATTAATATCTTTGATTATAAAGAGATATGGGTGCACTACGAACATCATAAGGGATTGAAATTAAAGAACGGAGTATAATCCTTGTAGGAACAGTATTGTACGAGACCGCTTGCAGTGCCACTAATGACTAATTAATGCCTCCAAATGAGGGAGATTAATTATGAAATACTTCGTACTAATCCTCAAGTGATCAAAACACTATGAAATGAATACCACCACAATATAAAATAGTTAAGGCTCCGTTTGGTATACGGAATTCTGGAATTAGAACTGGAGACAACAATTTCAATTTTACTATTTGGTAACACAAAAGTCTATAGATTTAGAATTGGTAGTGTCAAAAATAAATTAAATTTGAAGAAGTCAATTTCATTCAAATAATTTCTATAGAATTTCAACTTTGAATTCAATTTTTATTTTATCAATTCCGTGCACCAAAAGGACCCTAAGTTCCACTTTCCAAACATTATGGTGATTAAAAAGGATTCAAATAAAGATTCTTTAAGACTGATTGGAGCTAGCTATGGCCTATGTGAGTTGAGAATGTAGGCATAATCATCAACCAACCCAAAAATATCATTATTAGGTGCAAAAATTACATAGAGTATATGCTAGCCTACTTTATAAAAAGAGAACCTAAACTCAAGATAAAATTAATTAATGAGATGAAAACATATACGGAGTACTTTAATAAAACATACAGTTTTATAAAAAAAGTTACTCAGATGAGATAAATTAGACTTTGATCCTTGATTGATGGCAAAGAGAAGTGACTACATCTGGAGGTCATATACTTAGCACAGTTGCTTCCCAGCGCATTTATTCGGAATCGAACTCGAGTCTTACCTCCTTGACAATCCTTAACTTGAAAACAACGCAACGTCCAGTCACCCACCACCCAATGTACATTCAATTACATTAGTAAAATTTGCACTAAATAGGACTAAAACATAATAAATTTCCCAATGTAGAACTTAAACTTTTTTATTCCCTAAATAGGACTTAATAATGACCTAGTGGGAAGAATAATGTCCAGTAATGATAGAAATTTACTTGAATAATGACTACATGATAATGACCAAAAGTCCTACATTGGGAAATAAAAACATATGGTCCTATATTGGAAAAGTCATTATGTTTTAGTCTTATTTAGGTAAATTTCTCCTATTGAGCATCGCCTCTTCTCCTTCCTCACCATTCACTCTCGACATCTAGCAATAATGGCGGCACGCACCCAAGAACTTATAAACATTTTCTTCACTCCTTTGGACATCTACTTTGAGCATCCTATTAAGAACAATACTTCGTATTTGGGAAATATTTCCATGTACGAGTATTTCTTAATAAATCATTACAAAATACGTCAAAATTAAATATATAGGAACTCTCGAGTTAGAAACTATATATGAAAACAAATGTTAGAAAGATAAATTATATATATATATATATATATATATATATATATATATATATATATATATTAGAATTTAGACAGTTATCTCTCTCTATAAATTCTTTCTCCTTTTGTTGAAAGTATACCACTATATGTGATTGAGTATGTATGCTTAGGTATCCCCCTATAATTGAATGTGTATAAAAATTATTGCTACATTGGTGTGAAATTGAACAAGGTGTGTGTGATAAGTTTTCTAATTTTTGCAACAGAATGTTCCGTTGTGGTAGATACTTTACCAATTTCTGTTGTGATTGAATTTTTTTCTGTGGTAAAAATAAGCAATGAAGATGGTTTTTCATTTTTCCATAGCAAATTTTTGCATCCAACGAACGACATGGTTGCAAAGTTTCGATGCAATATGTTACAATATGTGTGTGCAGTCATAGAAGGTTGGATTGATGTACTGCAATGGGAAGTGTTGTCGTGGTAACGCAAATGATGTCACGTAGTTTACCAAGTGAATGCAAAAGCCCTTTTAACCATTTAAACTCACATGTAACATAACTGTGGCTCGAGCTTTTTATTCGACTTTAGCAAAAGAGCAAGCCACCGTAGCTTGTTTCTCAGTTTTCTAAGATTGAGAAAAATCTCAAAGCTGAACAAACTAACAAGTGAGAGACCGCTAGTCAATGAACGGGCTGTCCAATTATAATCATGCTCTCTCATGAGTTGGAGAGCATATATTATCAAAGGAAAGTCCACGTACTTTAACCAGACGCGAATTTTAGTAAAGATAATTTTATTATTCAAGAAAAGATATTGAATAATAAAAACAGGAAATTTTTTTAGGATTGGAGTACTTACCAAAATACTCCGTAGGAAATTAGTTTCCTTTTGTTTTGAGAGTAACAAAAAAATTTGTGTTGTTTTTAAATATAAATTTAAGTGAAAAATAGTGAATTAAATTTATATTTGTTATATACAATTAATTGAAATCAAGTGAATTGAAGATAAGTGGAAAAACAATGTACCCAACCCACTCAAGATGGAAGTTTATATATATGTAAAATGGTAGTTGGTGGGTGGTAAAGTGTGCATGGTCATCCATGGTATATTTTTAATTATTTGTCATCATATATAGTACTCGTGTCAATGAATTTATGTGCATATAAATATGATGATTTGGCCAGGCCCTCACATGCCAAACAAAAAACATATATATATATATATATATATATATATATATGTAAGAGGGAGAAGGAATAATATATAATAAGTAGTAGTGTTTTCTTTCTTATTGTCGTTGTTCTCTTTGTTCTTTGGTTCTCTGTCCCGTACGTAGCCAACCAAAAGGAATTATTAAACAAAACAATTAACATTATGTCTTCTTCTTCTTCTTTCTCTTCCCCTCTCCGCCATTATTGTTGTTCTTCCTCGCCTCGTAGCCCTCTTCCAAAGCTTTACCTCATCAATGGTGATCAGCAGGGCTTCACCCCTCGTCTGCAGCAGCATTGTAAGGCTATAAGGAAACCTCGTACACAAGGTATATATAATCGAAATATTTTATGTATCATATTGTATTAATTAGTTTTCGGTACGCTAAACATGAAGAATACACAGAGGTCGTAGTGTTGCAAAATGGTTTGACTGCCGGTGGCGGCGGCCGCGGCCGGCTCGAGGTGGACGAGCTGCCGCGGCTGCAGGAGGAAGATCATGGAAGCTTTCTTGAAAATCATACTCATCATCATGAGGTCAGATTGTTCTTTCTTTATCGCATTTTTTATTATTTATGTGTGCATAATCTAAGTTGAAGGGACTTATACGCGGATGGGATCAGAAGCGTGAAAGGCCAATTTTTTTTATAATTTGAAAAGGATTTGGGTGTTGGGAGGCTCCCAAGAATCCGTGTAAAATGGTGTACAATTATATACGTGTAAAAATAAGAAATTGTGTAAAAATAAGAAATTGTTCAAATATACTCCTTCCATCCCAGAAAAGATTTCTCCTTCCTTTTTTCATCCGTTCCAAAAAACACTTCTCATTTCTATTAAAAAGTCACTTTTACCCCTTACTTTTTCATACCCTACTTATCACATCATACCTTTTTACAAATAATCTATCCATCAAATCATACTTTTACTCATCACATCAAAGGACATTTTTGGAAATTCAATACCAAAATACACTCCCCTTAAATCCCCTTTCAAGATCAAAACTCTCATGTTTTCCGGAACGGATGAAGTAGTTAACTTCCAATTGTGTCCTTGATGTGATGGATAAAAGTAAGATGTGATTGATATGTTATTAAAGAAAAAAGATGTTGTGATATGTAGGATAAGAAAAAGTAAGGGTAAAAGTTACTCCCTCCGTCCTATAATGATCTTCCCAGTTTGCAAAACAAAGAAAAATCTCAAGTTTTTTCAATCTATTTTATTTAAATATTGGTATAGGAATAAAAAATAAAACATACATATTTAAAAAACTACACCAAAAGTTCAACAAAACAAGTGGTGACAAGAATATTTTATTTTATCATATAGGCAATGAAAAAACACAAATAAATATAAATTCCCGTGAAGTTGGAATAGTGCTCTGGGAAGATCATTATAGGACGAAGGGAGCAGTATTTTTTACTCCGTAATAAAAAGTGGAAATATTTTGTTACAAGTGGTAAAAATGAATGAAAAAGTGTTTTTGAGAACGGGGGAGTATGCAGTTATTAATAGTTAATATGATGGTGATTAGGCAGCAATGAAGGAGATAAAGGGGAGGGTGGAAGTTGTGCGGTCGAAGCTGAGAACGATGGGGGACGGAGAGATCACGGTGTCAGCTTACGACACCGCTTGGGTGGCGCTGGTGAAGGACGACGTGGTAGCGGGCGGGAGAGGCGACAGACCGCAGTTCCCCTCGGCACTGGAGTGGATCGCCGGAAACCAACTCGCCGACGGGTCGTGGGGCGACGGGGACATCTTCCTGGCTCACGACCGCGTGCTCAACACCTTGGCCTGTGTCATCGCCTTGAAATCTTGGAACGTCTGTCCCCTTCATGTCCAGAAAGGTTTCTCTATTTCTTTAATTTATTTCTCCTTTTCAATTTACTGCGCTTTTAAGTTTAAAATTAATTAAATTAAAATAGGTAACGAGAACAAACAAATTAGACTATCTAAGAAGACAAGTGAGGAATAAATTGATAGACGAAGGGAGTACTTGTTTAGTGCATTGTTCACTCTAACCTTTTTCACTAACACAAAATATTTTTATCTAGTAAAAATTATAGTGCACATTTCTACAAATATGATCCTACTAGTTTCATCATCAAAAGTACATTTGAAAATTTACTTCATTGAAAGTGCTAACAAAGTACTCCCTTCGTCCCTAAATAAAGTTCCATTTTTGACTTTTTGAGAATTTAAGGGATGGATATTTTTGTATTGACTTTCCAAAAATACCCTTGATGTGATGTGTAAAAGTATCACATGGAGTTTACACTTTTTGACATATTTTAATCTTTTAGTAGGATACACAACTGTCAAGGAACCATTTATATTCTAACATGCCTCCTCACGTGCAGGCGTAGTCTTTTTCAAACCTTGCACGTGAAACTTTAATTTTCTTAAAACTAGGTGGTGCTGAGTTTCGAACCCGTGACCTCTTTGCTAACAAAACTCTGATACCATGTCAAGAAACTAATTTAACCAAAAGTTCAAACTTGTGGTTGTGGTCCAGGAAAGAGTTATTTGTATGACATGGAGTTTACACTTTTTGACATATTTTAATCTTTTAGTAGGATACACAACTATATATATACATTCCTTCCAAAACAAACTTTATTTAGATTGTTTGTTATATCAGATGTTCATTTATGATGTTTTTTTTTGTTGAAATTATATATGATGATGATGATGTGTTGGATGAATAGGAATGATGTTCTTGAGAGAGAATATGAGAAAGGTGGAGGAAGAAGATGGGGAGCACATGCCAATAGGGTTCGAAGTGGCGTTTCCATCCCTCATGGCCATGGCTAAAAAGCTCGGCATTCACCTCCCCCATCATGACCATGACCATGATCATCATCATGATTCTCGTCCCCTCTTCCAGAACATCTATGCCCACAGAAAGCTCAAGCTCACCAAGTAAGTATATACTCCCGTTTTGCAAAAAAACCTTCCCATTTTGATTTGAGACAAAAGTAAGGAAGTGTTAAATTATACTCCGTAGTTGATTTCCAATTTTGCTCCTGATGTGATGGGAAAAAGTATGATGTGATAAGTAGAGTATGAAAAAGTAAAGATAAAAGTAGTTTTTTAATAGAAAATGAAAGTGTTTCGTTTGAAGTGGAAAAATCTGAAGAGCATTTTTGAGAACGTACCTTTCCTTTAATTTCTAGCTACACATGCACCTCCGTGCTCTTCACGCCTCCTCTTTCCATTGTATACATATATTCGATCTTCCCATAATAATTACTAGGAGACAAAAGGCCACAAGTCCATAAAAGAGTGTTCTGTTTTTTTTGTTTACTTTATTTGCCCGTCGTCCGAGTGTATACGTCTAGTTTTACTTTTTTCAAGTTAAATGAGATGTTTTTTAATCATCAGTTAGTATTTCAAAGGCTATCCTTGAACCTTTACCCAAGGATTTATACGGCTATCCTTAACCGTTACAACGTGAGAATTTGACTTTGTAAACTACTCCCACCTTCCCATAATAGTTGTCCAAAGTGCCTCAAATATTCATATTACATTATAATATGAATGATTATTCTAATATATGAATTAACTATTTTTATTTTATTAAAAAATAATCATTAAATAAAAAATATTGATCCCCTTCCGGGAATAGCACCACTTCCTCCATTTCCACCGCTGGCTTGGGCCTCTCCCGGTCTTCCTCCTTCCTTTCTTTATCTTCCAAAACATGCCCGATGGCCGGTTTTCAAAGATGGCCTACTTTGTACCATGCCTCACCACCTATGATGCTTCACAAGTTGCTGATCTCTACTTCCGAGAGATAGTCAAACTCCATGGCGTTCCCCGAAGCATGGTCTCGGATAGGGACACAAAATTCCTTAGCCACTTTTGGATGACCCTATGGAGAAAGTTGGGTACTAAACTTTTCTCAAATTTTATTGCATAAAATTTTAAAAAATTTCGACAAGATAAATATAGTGGAGCCACTTTCATACTACTAAGTAATATACTCCCCCGACCCTAAAAACCTTTCTTCTTTCTTTTTTCTTCCATTTCATGAAATTTTTCTCATTTCTATTAAAAATTCAGTTTTACCCCTACTAATTCTTAACTTACCTTTCATATCGCATCTATCTGCTAATAATCTACCAATCAAATCATACTTTTACTCATCACATCCAAAGAGATTTTTGGAAACTCAAAACCAAATAACCCCCTTAAATCCTTTAAAAAATAAAACCTTCCTTGTTTTTAGGGACGGAAGGAGTAGATTACAATTTTTTTTATTTATCTCCAAAGTTTATTTAATTTGACTGGAAAAATTCAAATTGAACAAATACTTTGAGACGAAGATCATATTTTTTAAAGCTATATATTCTAAAAAAATGTCTCATTTCATTTTAGGAAAGAAATATGCATGAAATAACGGACTCGTGAAAGAAATGAATGGTTTTATATTACTTTTTCTTTCGTGATCATGTAAATTTATGTTTTCTTGAATATCATGAAAACGAAAAGGGATATGATTTTTTTTTGGACGGCTATGATAGGTGTACACCATTTTGTACATCATAGCTTTGCGCTAATACTTTGATAGTTCACACTTGCACAAAATGTCAGTGCAAAGTTTTCTGATCGTGCTGACATTTGTGCAAGTATGTGCAATGAAAACACGGGTGTAAATCTATAGTTTACAACATGCATGGTATACATATGCAATTATTGAATTTTAGAGAAAAATAATTTAAAATTAAACGAAAAATGTTTGGTAAACTACGTACATTTGGAGTACACCAAAACAAAAGTAGGCGCCGGCGCGCATAATATACACACTCAATATCTGTACACGAACAGACATTGAGTGTTTGTGTTTGCCCACTGTTCTTCAAATAAGATAGGGTGTATGTATGCATGTGAGGGATAATAATGAATGTGATGATTGGGTATGGGTGGGTGGGGGGGGGGGTGGGGTAGGATACCAAAGGAGGTGATGCATCAAGTGCCGACAACGTTGCTCCACAGCTTGGAAGGAATGGAAGGAGTAGTCGAAATTGATTTGGATTGGGAAAAGCTCCTCCCCCTCCAGTGCCATGATGGCTCTTTCCTCTTCTCTCCCGCTTCTACCGCTTTTGCCCTCATCCACACCAAAGACCCCAACTGCCTCCGTTATCTCTCTAACGCCGTCCGCCAATTCCACGGTGGAGGTCCGTTAGTCTCTTTCTTCTTCTTTCCTTTTTCTTTCTCTTTCTTTTTTTTATATTATATGCATTACATCCCCTCCCATCATCGATCCATTATATTATTATTACCACTAGCTAACTACTAATTAACTAACTAAAATAATGTAGTTCCTAATGTGTACCCGGTGGACTTATTTGAGCGAATATGGGTCGTTGACCGACTCCAAAGGCTTGGAATCTCTCGTTTTTTCAAACCCGAAATTGCAGATTGTATTGCCTACGTCCAGAGGTACGCACCTACATCCCTACCTAGCACATTTCAAAAAAAAAAAAATCTTTCTATTTGATTTTTTAGTATATCTAATGTATAGCTAGTAACACTTCATCATATATATTTATAGAAATATTTGCACTAAATAGCAGTAAAACTTAAGTCATTTCCCTAAATAGCACTTAAACTGTTTTTTTTCTCTAAATAGAACTTAATAATGTCCATAATGACCAGTGATAGCGAATATTTGCTTGAATAATGACTAATGCATAATGACTAAAAGTGCTACATTTGGAAGAAAAATACACATGGTGTTATTTAGAGAAAGTCATTATGTTTTAGTGCTATTTAAGTAAATTCCTCATATTTATAATATCATCGATCAGATACTGGAGTGATGAGCGGGGTATATGTTGGGCAAGAAATACAAGAGTTGAAGACATTGACGACACTGCCATGGCCTTCCGGCTTTTAAGGTTGCATGGCTACCCTGTCTCTCCAGGTATGTATGCATGCACCCGGCCCAGAAATAAAAATATATGATGCTATTTAGTAAAAAAACCATTGTCTTTTAGTGCTATTTAGGTAAAATTAAATACTTGGTACTTCAACAAAGTATATGTGTTGTGTATATATGTGTGATAATAATGGCGATGTTTGGGTTGAATGTGCCGCAGAGGTTTTCAAGAACTTCAAAAAGGGGAGAGAGTTCGTGTGCTTTGCGGGGCAGACGAACCAGGCGGTGACCGGAATGTACAACCTCTACCGGGCTTCTCAGGTAAGGTTTCCCGGCGAGGAGATACTGGAGGACGCCATGGAATTTTCCTCCCTTTTCCTCCAACATAAACGGGCCTCCAATCAGCTCTTGGATAAATGGATCATTACCAAAGATCTACCCGGCGAGGTACCTATATATATCTATATATGTATGTATACATACAAACTCACAAATTAAAAAAGAACCTCAAGAATGTTGGGGATTCCTCCAAGTCCCACACTGGAGGGAAAAGAAAAAATGGACCAAAATATATAAGTTCACCCAACCCCATTAGTATGAGGCCTTTTGGGAGGTGCCCAAAACAAATCTGTGAGAGCTTAGGCCTAGAACAGACAATATCATACTAATGCAGGGTTGGGGTGAGGGCACACGCAGTCCCAACATGTGGTATCGGAGCCCAGGTTTTTGCGGGCGTGAGCAGCGGACTGTGCAGTGTGGATAAATCTCGGTGTGACGGTGTAATAATAGGACCAAGACCTAGAAAGAGGATCTGCAGGTCGTGCCTTGTGTCGAAAGTCTTCCCGATGGCACAAGATGATTTGGCAGATCAAATGGTGTAGCCCAGCGAAGGAAAAGATCTGCTGTTCGAGCCTTGTGTCGAAAGTCTTCCCGACAGGAGGTCGGGCGGCGCGTCCCGCAAAGAGTGTGCGGCGGTGCTTAGCAGATAAAAGGAAAAATGGATTACCGCTGGAGGGGAGGTCGGAAATTGTGTGGTCCTTGGTTGAGGGGAGGTTTGTTGGGGATTCCTCCAAGTCCCACACCGGAGGGAGAAGAAAAAATGGACCAAAATATATAGGTTCACCCAACCCCATTAGTATGAGGCCTTTTGAGAGGTGCCCAAAACAAAACCGTGAGGACTTAGGCCTAGAGCGGACAATATCATACTAATACGGGGTTGGGGTGAGGGCACATGCAGTCCCAACAAAGAACGTACTTACATACAGAAGTACGCAGATGAGGAGGACAAAAAATAATTTTTTTTCTTTCTCTTTTTCATTTAGTATTTATTTGTTAAAGCACAAATCTTGATATATGGAACATTATTGAACTGATGGGCAAAGTGACGACAAAGAGTCCACGTACGAATTGGCACGCACGCCAACTCGGCCAAACATAATACTCAGTATTTTGTCTCAAGCATGCATCGTAGTACCTCTCTCCCTACATGATTTACACACTTTTATTATTCAAAAGTCGCCATAGCTTTTTTACATTTGCATGTTTTGAATAATTATTTGATGGAATAAAATATTTTTGTTACTTTTTGTTTTGTAGAACTTTTGTTGTACTTTTTAAACATGTAAATGTTTTATTATTTATATATCAATCTTTAAATAAATTAAATTGAAAAAACTTGATATTTTACTCCCTTTGCTCACAAATACTTTTTCTTTCATTTTTTTTCTTCCCCCAAAGCAGTTCCACTTTCGATTAAAAAATCATCTCTACCCTTACTTTTTCTTACTTTACCTATCACATCATAGTTTTTCACTAATGATCTATCCATCAGATCTTACTATTACTTTTTTTTTCAAACGCATGTTTGGAAGTGGGTAAATAATTAATTAATTAATTAACGAACGACATAATAAATAATAAACGGATGGGCTCGTACAGGTGGGATATGCACTAGACTTGCCATGGTACGCAAGCCTGCCTCGCCTTGAAACAAGGTTCTTCCTCGAGCAGTACGGCGGGGAAGAAGATGTTTGGATTGGCAAGACTTTATATAGGTATGTATATATATGTGTGTGTGTACTCTTAATAATTCATCAATATATTTATAAGGATGATTTTAATTGAAGGTGTAAGTATTTTTTGCGACCAATAATATCTAGATTTTCATCTCTAGACGTTAAACTTCAACTCGATCTGGGTTGAGACTGAATGGGAGAATTATTTATGTGATCAGGATGCCATTAGTGAGCAACAACTTGTACCTGGAGCTTGGAAAACTAGATTACAACAATTGCCAGGCAGTACACCAGCAGGAATGGAAAAGCATCCAAAAGTAAGTGTTACATACTTGTTAAAACTCTATAGCTATGGGATTTATTATTTACATGAGCCAGATAATTGTGAGGACTAAAAGGTCATATATATATATATATATATATATATATATATATATATATATATATATGTGATCCAAGATGGAGCGAAGACTGCAAGCTCGGGGTGAGCAAAAGAAGCCTGTTGCTTGGGTTCTACTTGGCCATGGCCAGCATCTTTGAGCCGGAGAGGTCAAAAGAGAGGCTAGCCTGGGCCAAAACTGCCGCGCTCGCGGCGGCCATCAGGGCAGAGTTTTGTTTGGACCACCACCACCACCACAAAAGGGCTTTCACTCGAGAATTCACAAATGCCACCTCCCGTGCAAGCAGCAGGCACACAACAAGAGAGCAAACCCTTGTCGGGGCGCTGAACGAAACCTTAAACCAGCTGTCTCGTGACGCGCTGTTGACTCACGGCAGAGATGTCCGTCCCTACCTGCGCAGAGCGGTAATCATCAAGAATATATAACCCCAAACACGTACTTGTGTTACGTTGTTTTAACACAAATTCCGATTGCGCGAAAACTAACCTGGTGCTTGTCAATCTCGACATGTGCTACATACGCTTGCAGTGGGAGAAGTGGCTGCTTGCCTGGGAAAAGGACGACGGAGAAGGAGAAGCAGAACTCGTAGTGCGCACGTTGAACGCGTTCAACGGGCAGGGGACGTTGGAGGAATTGTGGTTCTCGCATCCCCGGTACCAACAATTGATGGAGATCACCAATAGAGTTTGCCACGGCCTCAGTCTCTATCGCCACGCCCAGGTCAGCCTTGTAGTACGTTCTAGCTAGGCTCATGAAAGTTTTTGTATTTCAACACGAACACGTACTGAAAACCATTGCACACACTTAAGGAGACACAAACATTATTTGATTGCAGAGCTATGAGAGGGAAGCAGATGAAAGGCCACAAGAAAGGATGACGAAAGCCGAGGTGGAACGCGAAATGCAAAGCCTGGTGAAGATTGTGCTGACAGATGATGATGATGAAGAAGAAGAAGAAGAAGAAGAAGAAGATCTCATCAGCCCAGAAGTGAAGCAAACATTCCTCACTGTAACAAAAGCCTTTTACTATGCTGCCTTCTGTAACCCAGGAACCATTGATTCCCACATAGCCAAAGTGCTCTTTCAGAGAGTACTTTGATTTGATTCCCATTTCCCACAACGCCCCCAGCTTTTGGACTGCATGCATGTTACAACTCACAAGAAATAATTTTGAGTTGATTTGTCATGAATTGAATTACTACCTGTGCGTAATGATATGGTTTTGCTAATCACAATATTATTGTCAAGTTGGCAAGATTGTAAAACGGAGTATCATATATATATTGATATAATATGGATTTGGACCAAATTCTTTTACTTGTAAAACGGAGAATTGAAATTTTATGACTTTCCAAACAATATATAGAATTCAAAGTTATGGTATTTCAAATGTTGGAAATGAAATCTAAGATTTCAAATAAATTTCAATTCTCTAACATTACCTTAGGTGAAATGCTAGTCAATGAGAAAATGGAGAACTAGATCAGCTAATATCCTACTATCTTCATCGTAAATGATAAGCCCTATTGAGACTAATAAAAATTCCAAATGGTTAAAAAAATTCTCCGAATATCAAGAATTAAGAATATAAATCAACAGATGGAAAAAAGAATATAAATCAACATTGAGTCTTTTGTGTCGTTTATTTTTTAACTTTTCAAACATTACACGGATTCCTCCGCCAATACCCCTGAGCTTTAGGGAGTGCGTTATCACACGTTCATTCAGTGCTAGTATATACTCCCTCCGTTCCTCAGTTTTTGTCCACTTTTAACTCCTTAATTTAAAAATGAAATATGAACACTAGAAAGATGAAATAATATATGGAGTTAAAGAAAAAGACTATTTTTTATATTTTTATTTCTTTTCATTACTTTTTTTAACTGTTATTACTTTTTATTTTGTACATAATATTTTATTTTTCATTTTTTGTAACATTCTCCAAAAAATATTTTGTTTTCAAAAGGACATTATGAAAAATTCTAATTTGAGATGGGAAGCATATATTTTATTTTATATATTTGTATAATAAAGGAAATTAAAATTGGAAAAATTCAAGATCGGGGAAAACAAAGGGCATAAATGTCATTTTTGCTTTAAAAATAGGTAAGAAGGGCATGTGTGCTCTATTTAGAAACCACGGGGACTTTACAAATAACTTTTGAAAACAGAGGGGTTTTGACGTCCTTTTTGTAAACCACAAGGGGTGCCCATGCTATTAACCCTTTAAATTAAACTACTTTATGTTTTTTTCTCTAAATTTTACTACCTCCGTCTATTAAACTCCTTCCCCTTTCTTTTTTTTCTTGTTCTACTAACTCCTTCTCTTATCTATTAAAAAACTAATTTATTATGTATTCCTATTGGAATTCGATCATATCAAATCAAATAAAAAATAGTTTTAAATATAACTACATTCAGATCAGATCAGAACAAAATGGTGTTTGTAGTTTTAAAATAATTGGGTGCTCCATATTTTTGGGCTTTGGAAAAATAGATATATCGTGCAGGCCTAAAGCCCGTCCCTAAAGGGCTGCTTTGAAGGGGTTATACACTACTCCTTGTCCTAGTACCATTAAATACGAAGTATTAGTTTAGTTTTGATTTTTGATTTATTTTTAAAGATTAAGTATTTTAATTTTTGATTTATTTTTAAATAAAATATATATTATATATTAATTAAATAAAGTAATATTTTTTAAAATATTTTATATAAAAAAGCTAATTTTTTATTAATATCTAATATCATTTTTATTTAATTTAAATCAAAATTTACTAATTTTAATGAAAAAAAGTCAAAGATTACAAATATGAGTAGGAATTACTTCCTAGTCCGTAAGGAGGAGTATATAAAAGTACATTATAACATTAGAAATTAAAATTAGCATTTTGAAAAGACTATCAACGAGGAATGCTTTTAAAATAATTGTTCAAATAACCTGCATAAGTTCATTCACTTGTTTTCCTCCCCTTCCCCCGCCGATCGGACTAGAAAGGCAAGACGCAATCCAGACGTAAGATAGAGGGTTGAACGAACTCGTCCCCAACAAACAAGTCGGACCAGATTTTCACAACCTCGTATACTCAACCTCGTATACGCATTTCTGGTCGGACCAGATTTTCTACCTAAATCGCTGCCCCAGTGGGCCTTCTCTTCCCGCATTTATCACGTTCCCGAATTGAAGAATACTCAGAGCGAGTCAGAACCGAAGAAGGGGAGTAAGCGGTGTCAGAGATGGCTCTCATCCGGCATTGCCCATTCCCATTTTCTGCACTTTCTGCAGTTGGGCCGTCTCAGAGTGGAACGAATCTCCTCTCCATCAAGACGAGTTTCAGATATGATCAAAACCCGAATTTACTTCAGCCCAATTCCCAGATTAGGAGGTGCTCTGCTGTTCTTTCTCCCCCGCTCAATTCTCCTAAGAATCCTCCATCCCTGTCTACTTTTAGTCAGGTAAAGATTTGATTTTTATTTTTTTGAAAAGAATTGGGATTTTGATTCTTTTCCCCCCACTCTTGGATTATGTGATTTACATTATTAGAGGGTGAATTTGTGTTTTGTTTTGTTTTCTTTTTTTGGGTTTTGGATTTTGTGTGTTAGTTGATTGAGGATTTAATAAGTGGGAAGGACTTGACTGAATCTGAAGCTGAAGAATCTCTTGAGTTCCTGTTGGGTGGTGCAGATGAGACACTGATTAGTGCCTTTCTGGTTCTCTTGAGGGCTAAAGGAGAAACCTATGAAGAAGTAAGTAGTATTTCTACCCTCTCTCTCTCTCTGTCTTTCAATGACTGTGAACTGTCACTTTAGAATGTGAAGGCAACATTAATTGCTCATTTTCCAGTATTACCCCTTTTCCATCCATGAATGCTACTCAAAAACCTAGACATTAATGTATCTAACAAGTATATTCAGGTCATGTCATTTATTGTTGTCATAAAGAATGAATTGATGGGTGCAAATGTTACACACAATACCAGTGGAAGTATAGTACTCTGATGTTGAATGAATCAATGAATGGGCTATGTGTTAGGTAGTTGGGATGGCAAGAGCTATGATTAAGCAATGCAGAAGAGTTGAAGGATTAGAAGATGCAGTTGACATTGTCGGCACCGGAGGCGATGGTGCAAACACTGTTAACATCTCAACTGGTGCTTCCATTCTTGCTGCTGCCTGTGGTGCCAAAGTTGCAAAGGTGTGATAAATTACTTTCCCTTTTAATAGATTTAAGTCTCTGTTTGGTCAGATAATAGCTCCAATTCAACGACAACAACAGACCCAGTAAAATCCTACAACACTAGGGTACGGGGAGGGTGTTTGTTCGTAGACCTTACCCCGATTCAACTACAAAAACCCAGAGATAATTGCTCAGATTTTGTGTGATATTGGTGAAGTTGTTGACTTAGGAAATAGATTGCTGATAAAATAGAGAAAAATATATACACACACGAACAAAAAAAGAAGCCAAAATAATCATCTTTAGTACCTTCAGCGGAAAAAAAGTATATCCGGTCCTACATTTTTTGTTTTCTATAAATCAATTAAGTGCTCACAACCAAATGAGTTGGTGTTTGTTTAGAAAAGAGTGGTTGATAAGGTTGATGCGCTGAAAAAAATGGCTACCCAATGTTCACGATATGACTCTTTTCCTTGCTGTGATTTCTATTAGAGTTCTGTAATGGTAAATCGGGCTTAATGGTATTTCGATATCTTTGCAGCAAGGAAATAGGTCCAGTTCATCTGCCTGCGGAAGTGCTGATGTACTAGAAGCACTAGGTGTTGCTATCAAGCTAGACCCCGAGGTTCGTGTTCATAATGACTAATACCATATCCGTAATTCTTTATGCATTTCATTTGTGATCTTTATTCTAAAACTGGGTATTGTATAAAGGGATGATGAGATTCAAAACTTCTTCTTGTTAGGATGGAAATGACAAAAAAAGCCCATGCCTCCACAATATTAGATAAAATTAGTTGGACAAATGTGGTGTGTCTTTTTTGGATACTAGTCATTTATTACTAACTTCCTACCTGCCCCTAACATATATCATTCCATTAGGGTGTATTTGTGCTCTCAAATACTGTTTCCTTGGGAGAAAACCCAAAGGAAAGTTGTGTTTGGTACTTAGTATTTTCCTCCCTCAATCCCACTATTTGTTCGGACATGAGGCAGTCACACGAAGTTTAAGAAAAAGTAAGATAAAACAAACATAAATGTGAACCACATGACTATGACCAAATATGACACTCCGTATGAGACAAAAAAATAGTGGGATGGATGAATAAGGTAAAAAGGAACAAAAACCATGGGACGGGGGAGTATATGGACATATGTGTGTGATAAATTTCACACGTGACATTTTCTTTTAAGAAAAATTTTAAGGCTCGAAATCAGACTCGTTTGCATCATTTTCTTAGCTTTTGTTTTTCTTCATAATTCAACCGTCATGCTACAGATATTTTGCTACATTAAAATTTTAAATATTGCAAAAATTGAGTTAAAAATGTTTTTGGCCTTGTCTAACACATAAAATGGGACAGAGGGAGTATTATATTTGCTCTGCTTGGGTGTGTTTATGCAGTGAAGTATAATACAGAGTATTTATTTGCTTTCCTATGAATGATGGTTGGAAACAGGGGGTGAAGAAGTGTGTAAATGAGGCAGGAATTGGTTTTATGATGTCACCCATCTTCCACCCTGCAATGAAGATTGTTAGTCCTGTCAGGAAAAAACTAAAAGTGAAGACCATATTTAATATCCTGGGCCCTTTGTTAAATCCAGCCAGAGTTCCTTTTGCTGTTATTGGTGTCAACAAACAAGACCTTGTAAGTTCCTCATCTTCTTTTTTTCTCTCGTTTTCCCTTCGGTTTTGTTAGACTTACAGTCGCGTCACACCACAGATTACACCAAGTTTGACCGTGTCAGACAACCAAGATTGACAACAACTGACTTGATTGTCTCTCGTTGTGTCAAAATATATTGAAATAAATGTAGCAATATTCCCACACATTTGAAATGTCTTGCACGTTATGTATATGAGAACCAAATTTCATTAAACTAGGTCCACAAAATGGCAAAGGCAGTACAACGCTTCGGTATGAAAAGAGCATTGGTTGTTCACTCAGAAGGCCTAGATGAGATGAGTCCTCTCGGTAAGTCTTTTCTTTCAATAAAAAAAACATAACATTTACACCACTTTGTACTATGTAGCATCATTCTTTGCTTGATTTTCGGATGTGTAGGTAAAGCTCTTAGTTCACCATTTGTTTGTTCTTCATGTAAATGTTGTATATGGAAACAGGTCCGGGCTTAATCCTTGATGTTACCCCTTCTAAGATTGAGCAATTCCCGTTCGATCCATGTAAGCTTCCCACCATTCGTAACACTCATTTTGTTTACAACAATAAACGGAACCTACAAACATGACCTGTTTTACGTTATGCTCATTGATCATACTGAAAAAAAACTAATGTGATCATATCGGACAGTGGACTTTGGCATTCCTCGCTGCACTCTTGAGAGCTTGACAGGTGGACCCCCGGACTACAATGCTGCGACACTAAGGCGAGTCCTGTCTGGCGGCAAAAGTGGTCCCATTGGCGACGCGTTGGTAAGTCCCTCCTGGTCTTATGCCTGTATTTGTTAAATGACAGATTGCCAAATGATATATAATCCCATTTTATATATTTAATAAATTTAAAAAAATAAAATAATTGTTGGCAGGCATTAAATGCAGCAGGAGCTCTGTTTGTGAGTGGAGTTGTGGACAGTTTGGGTGAAGGAGTGAGTCTTGCCAGGGAAACACTACTTTCTGGGAAAGCTGTGGATGCCCTCCACCTTTGGATTCAAGTTTCAAATGTAATTCACAAATGTGCACTTCCCTGATCAAAATTAAATGAATGAAGACTTGCTAATTAAAGCGATTCATTTCCTCTTTCATTTTGCTTCCCCTGTTTTCAGAATGCTAGAGAACCGTCACTTCTCGTGAGTCGAAGCACGGGGTCGACCAGTGCAATGTTAATGGGGAACTATTATACTCAGAAAAAAATGCATTGATATGGCTTGTGTTTTTATTTTACCCTTGGGATTACAACACTTGAGAGAATAAAAGCAGTGAGGTTACTATTACTAGGCTTGATATTTTTGAGGCCTTTTTGTTGTAGTAGTACAAATTATAGAGAAACTGTAATTCTAGAGAAACATCATTATAACATTTATACTACCATTATTTACAGTATTTTGGCTTACACCCCATTGTTTTTTACACTTTACATACTAAGCTCGTCTATGAAATGAGAAAAAATGAATGATGTAAATTTGGTTACATCTTTTCGGCATGCAAATGGTTTAATTATGTTTGTGTAAAACCTAAATAAGATTCAAATGTGAATGCCTCCATGTTAGAACTCTCCCAGATAAGAATATGTTGATATCTCCTTCTCCGTAGGTCACCCGTTGTCGCTGGCCATCTGTTGCCGTTGGTCATCAGCCACTACGACTCAATTACGTCTCCTAGTTGTCGTGATTTCTGTCACTAATAGACGTTACTATGTTTTTGAAATCTCTTCAAACAATTTTATAATGGATATTGACATTCCGACAAAGATCTCTTGACCCGAACCAATATTGACCTTAAGTGACTTTGGTATTTTGGAGCACCTATGGTACTCCGTTCGTAAAATCACGAACAGAACACCGTAAAGATCTCACGTCATAAAATGTCCTTAATTTCCAAAGTCAAAATAACCATTTTGTACATCTCATATCATTTCCATTCACAAAACATAAAAGCTCATACACAACACAAATAGTAAGTGGAAGTCAAACTATGGCAAGAAACAGTAAGAAGCTGCTTACAATTCCAGTTTAGTCCCTCCCTAGTTATCCTACACACCATCAAGCCTTGTTAACGTGACACGTGGAGGTGTTTTTGACCCTCCATACTTCCTGATGAAATTCCACTACGCCGTCGGATGTGGATCGATGCGCGGGAAGGGCCTTGACAATCCATGAACCGCAACCCGGCCGTTCAGCACCGCATCAAGCCTCCGGATCTTCACGAAATTGATCATCAACGGCTTTAAAACGCCGCCGTCGCCGGCAGCGGTCACCACCAGGCTCCGCCGGCGTTCCAGGGTCGGCACTACAGTCCCCTGAGGCAGGGTGATCAGGTCGGAGGCCGTCAGAAGCCTGTTAGGCACAATGTGGAACCCTAGATCGGCGATGTAGGACCGCCCCGAGCCGCCGGCGAAGATGGAATCGTCGTCCACGGCGAAAATCGTCATGTTCTTGAGCTCGGAAAGCTCCGGGTACCTGACCCGCATGCCCAGAGCAACTATGCTGTACCCGGTTGTGCGGAGCCGCATCATGGCTTCTTTCAGGACCAGGCGGTTCGCAAAGATCGCCCCCGCTGCTGTCGTCGGCTGGGGCAAGAATGCCAGAGTGCTCTGCCGCTCGATGTCACAAGACAGGGGAGACAGGTGAGAGACGAGCCCCCGGAGGCCGTGAACGATGACGCGGCCGTCGTTGAAGAGATCCGGCTCGGAAATTTCAGCCCCGTTGATGAAGACTTTCTTGGTTGGAAGTGCGGTTGAGATTCCGGCGGTGGAGGTGACCGTGAGGCAGCGATTCGGGGCCAGAGTAGAAATCTTGGTTCCGAATGCCCAATTCCGCAATTGGCGGAATGTGTAGAGGCCCGGCGAGGAATGTTCTAGAAGAAGCAGAGGAAGGGAGCAGAGGGGACAGGTGAGGAAGGAGGAATCTCTGGGAGCGAATACGGTGATTGAGGCGGCGGCGGCGTCCATGGAGGAGAGATTGGCCGCGGCGGTGACTGCGGCAAGTTCTTGGAATCCGAGCTTGGAGAAGATGTCTGCAAGAGGAAGCCATGGCGGTGAGGATGGTGAAGCGAGTGGTGCCGTCGTCGTCGTCGTCTCTGTGCCGGCGGATGTGACGACAACTTCAAGACGGAAAAGCAAGACGAAGAAAATCAGTCTCACGGCAGACGCCATTTCTGGTTCTTGGAGTCTCTACCAGATGGCGTAATTAAAAACGGCATATGCAAGCGTATCAAATCGAGGTAGTACTGTAGTAGGGACTAGTAAAGGCTAGAGGCCGTTTTAATGGTTTTATCATCCTTGGTCCTTAATGGACTCATAAAAAAAGTCAAATCCCCAATCCAAAGACTCATAAAAAAAAGTCGAATCCCCAACCCAAAGACTCCCACCAAGCTCTTGCTAGACGGGAAACTTGATGTCTTTTAAATAAAAAATCCAACAACCCATTTAATTAAGAGTTCTCTCTCACATACATGTAAGAAGCTCGTCATGTAGCCCACAATTATGTTGCTCATACTATGATAATCGAACCTTGCATCTTGTATCAGTTCTAACCTTTTTGGATCAAACTTGGCTATGACTCGTGCGGATTTATCATCTTAAGGCTATGTGTAGTGATAGCTTTGAAGGGGGTCTTGATGATGTGCCAGACAGGTACTTAATAATAGATAAGTAGAAAAATATATGTTACGAATCTTAAAAGTGAAATACGACCAAAAAATGATTGGGTGAAACACAACAATAACAACAGTTTAGTAAGATCCCATGCAAGTAAGGTCTGGAGAGGGTATGTGTACACCAATCTTGTTTGTACTTGAAAGTAGGGAAACTATTTCCAAGAGATATCCGGCTCAGTTGTCAAAAGGGATACTAAAAGTAGACAAATAAAACACCAATACAACACCAAGTACTTAGACTATAAAAGCAAATGAAAGTTAATGAAAGAAAAGTACTCCAAGCAAAAACCACCAAGCAAACAAGACATTCGTTGAAAATTTAGATTAGTTTAATTCATTGAGGTAAATGTGTTTTGCGAGTCTAATCACCTCTTCTCCAAACTAACCCTTTAATTTTTATTATGGATCGAGTCTAATCACCCCCTCTCTAAACTAACCCTTTAATTTTCATTATGGATCAAATTTTAAGCTTTTAATTCACTTTGGATTTGGTTTTGGATATTTCATTTTGCCTAATAAGTTTTGGATCTGTTTTGCTAGGTGGCAGGCATTGTTTGAGAATACTATTTTCGTATAGTGCTAGTATTTTAAATAAAATTTTAATGACCTTAACTAATTTTAAACATTCTACAACAAATGATATCATTAGAAACTTTTTAAAAATAATAAGACAATGTGTTATGGGGCATGAGGAGGGGCTTCACCACCCTCCGTCACACCCCTCTTCCTTAACACCCTAGGCGTGACCGAGTGTTGCTCCAAAAGGCTTGACCACTATCACTTTGAGATGGCTTCTTCCTTCCCTGTTTTTTTTTTCCTTTTTTATGTTATTTTAAATTTCAATCAATCAAAATTTAACAAATGTTCACACCTCATCACATTCCTTTACCTTGACCATAACACATTTTTTTCATCACTCCACATCATACATCTTTACACTCTGTCAAAGACACATTGTAATTAACATGCACTGATGAAAAGTATAAAGAAAACGCTATGGGTATCCCAAATGATATACAGTGTTTGTACAATAAAGTGTTTGTTTATATACAGACATTGAGTATCTCTCTACGTCTCTAAATGCTTTAGTAGACAAATGAAGTACCCCACCTGCCGCACTCTAGCATTATCCAACATTATCCAAATATAAAATCAAACGGGCCATAAAGCTTAAAAAACCATAAATCTAACGGGCCATTTTGGTTGGGCTATATTGGATGCATTTTGTTAAGCGCGAATAAGTCCTTGAAGTAGCTAGCCCATAAAGGTTCTTCACAATCCCGCTGCTCAAAACCCTAATCCCAGAGCGCAGACGACCGAGAAAGCGGCAAGCGGGCGGAAGGATAGAGACGACGCCGGAGGAGACGCAGTAATTTTATTCACCTTCTCTATTATTGATCTTTATATGTATATTCACGCATACGAGATTTGAATCTGGAGATTTTATTTGCAGAAAATGGCGGAAAAGGCTGTGACCATCAGGACAAGGAAGTTCATGACCAATCGCCTTCTCTCGAGGAAACAATTTGTGAGCTATCTAAAAATAGATGCTTATTTTATATCATTTTCCCGTTTATTTTTCGCGTTAGGTATCCATTGTTTTCTCTTTTGCTGATGGGCTCTTTTATTGCTTAGGTCATTGATGTTCTTCATCCGGGAAGAGCAAATGTTTCAAAGGTTAGGGGATATTATAATGTTTTTATTTCTATTCTGATAGTTTAAAACGTAGATTAGGAGCTTACGGTCCAGCAAATGCTTTACAAGGCTATAAATCAGTTGATATATGTAGTATTTTTCGATTTTACGAGTATGGTCACATTGACTATTGATTCATTGATGTTGATTACGGAGTACTTCATAACCCATTTTATGAACTCAAATTTTCATTTGTTTTTGTTTTTGGATTCTATTGTCCTTTTGAATTGTTGGGATGTATGGAGTTAAAGCTTACTACTATATGTATAATCTTTCATGAAATGAAAGGCCGAGTTGAAGGAGAAATTGGCAAGAATGTATGAAGTGAAAGATCCCAACTCTATATTTGTCTTCAAGTTCCGCACTCATTTTGGAGGTGGCAAATCCACTGGATTCGGCTTGATCTACGACTCGGTTGACAGTGCAAAGAAATATGAGCCAAAATATAGACTCATTAGGGTATGTGTTTCTTTTTTTTTTTTTTGCATTATTTTGTTCATCAATGATGAATTGTGAGTATAGTAGTGCACAAGAATTAACAACATACTCTTCTTGCATAAATATGCAGTGTTCTGAAAGTCTTAGCCAAATTACTTAGTTTGGATTGAATTGTTACATGCCCAGTCATTCTAAGATCACCTTAATACTATTTGCTTTCTTGATTAATGTGCACTCTTTGACTATCATGCCTTCAAATTAACATTTTAATCATGAAAAATGCCAAAGTGCCCCTAACCTTGTCTCTTCTCAAAGGCACACACATCAAAAATGAGCTCACCAATTAATGCAAATCATGGCCAGGCTTTTTAGAGTTTGTTAAAAGAAAACCCACTATTTTGGAAATGATGGAGTACCAACATTAGGTCCTTATATTTTGAATATTTCAAAAGCTTGTGTTTCCAATCACATTCATATCTTCGACTTTCATGACTTGTGCTATTGAGTACAGTGGTTAGCCAGCTAACTAGCTGATTTTTTTGCTGTTTTTTTTGTCAGAATGGACTGGCTACTAAGGTGGAGAAGTCCAGGAAGCAGATGAAAGAGCGCAAGAACAGAGCTAAAAAGGTTCGCGGTGTTAAGAAGGTATGAAGTTTTACTCTAGTTTGAAATTGATTATATATTCCCTCTTCAGTAGTTCCTTAAGAAATTTCTTAGTATATTCCCTCTAAACTTCTATGGTTGGCCATTTAAGGTTTGTATGCGTTTGGTCCTCCTTGGACCCTAATCTTGTTTTGGATTTTCTGGGTTTGAGTTTTATGCTGATCTAACAGATCTTTTTTGAAATTTTGTAGACAAAGGCTGGAGATGCTGCAAAGAAGAAGTAGTTTCCTTGTCTATTTAATGTTTCTGTTAGTTTTTTATTTCGGAACTCGAGTGAGATGGGTTTTGTTTTAAGATATTTCATTTATGGACAAAGTTGTAAACCAAGCTTGATTTGGTTTTAAACCGTTTTCAGATTTCTGATATGTTCTGATTTCGGTTCCCTTCTCGCATCCTAAGATCTATTAATTGCTAGGCCATTAATTAGGATTAGGAGTAAGTTATTTCTCTGCTACAAGCCTGCAACATGGCCTTAGGCATTCTGTTTTTCTGGGCCATCTATGAATCATCAAAGGTTGTTTTCATATGGTCTATTTTGGGAAAAAGATTCCTAAAAACTTCGTTTGCAGAAGAAATGATCGCAGGGCTTTGGCGTTTTACTCCATCTGTATAAAGATTCTAGTCAAAGGTCGTACATGCTAGGCAGAGAGAGGTAATATAATTGCAAGGAAATAATCATCATTTTGTACATCCATTTTTACATAAAATTTGGGCATGGCAATGATATCATGTGCTACGTGGAACGCATAAAGTTTTGTCTTACGTTACTGAGTGGTCATCCAAACTTGGGTCAATGCTCAAAAGTAGGGAATAAAAATTGTCTACAAATAGTAGCAGCTATATGGAGCATATTAGTGAAATTAGGACACAGTCATGTGATGACGTCTTTACGTCATTCTATTAGTGGTATTTTGGTCTTTTTTCTACCGCCTATATATTCCCTACACGAGCTTTATTTTGTGAACCATTTCATTGTTAATGAATAAATTAAAGAAATAAACTTGTAAAAATACTTATGGACAAACGTAAAGCTTACGTTAATATGATTTTTGTGATTCATGCCATTAATTAACTTTAAATGAAACAACAGAACGTGCTTGAGCTCCCAAAGTATATGCATGTCCCAACTTTGGGTGGAAATAATGCTTGTATGCTTTATTTGTGTTATTAAATTGGTTTTCTCCTCAAAATAGAAGTTTTCGTACCGTAAGCATATGTAATTTTGTATTGCGTACTCGTGTTTTACAGTGTTCTTTAATACTCCGTATTATTTAATACTTCGTATTTTTTTAAGAATTGTTTTGATATAAAAATCTTGAATACGATATTTTAAAAAATAGAAGATGTTTTATTCTTAATTTGATAGTAAACGTACACTAGCTTCTTTCATTAATCACATGAAACTTGCTCCTGCATTCGCCAGCCAAACTTGTCTGCCCCTTCTTTCATTATTATTTGATAGTATCAGACAAATATTACCAGTCCCTCCATGCCATCTCGATACAATCATTATTTTTAAAGATAAAAAATCTCTAAAAATTAAATTTCAAAAAAGGACATATTACCACTCCCTCCATGCCAACTTGTTAATTCTTTACTTTTCAATCATGCTAGATGTACACTTAGGTGTGTACCAACACTTTGATGATTCTCACCAGCACAAAATGCTAATGCGATCGATAAATTTTGACTGATATTTTATACCAGTGTAAATCATCAAAATGTCGATGCATACATGTGGTGTACGACTTGGAGTACACCCTTAGTGTACACAAAGCTTTATCCTAAACCTAAATTTTGTCTCTATTTCTCTGGTACACATATTTTTGATTAGTTTAATTGTAAATTTTCTCCTTTAAATTAATGTATCGTGAAAAACACGAGGGCTTGTGTCTAAAAAAAGGATAAAATTATAATTAATAGGGAGTAGAAGGTAGGAGTAGAGATAATAATGGATGGTACGTGGGGTTGATTTGAACAAATACAAAATCGTACGTAGGGTTTTGGTGGGCTGGCCAGCTGATGCATACTCACTTTTCACATATTCCTTCCCTTCCCAATTAATTATACTCCCTCCGTCCTATAATGATCTTCCCGGTTCGCAAAACAAAGAAAAATCTCAAGTTTTTTCAATCTATTTTATTTAAATATTGGTATAGAAATAAAAAATAAAACATACATATTTAAAAACTACATCAAAAGTTCAACAAAACAAGTGGTGACAAGAATATTTTATTTTATCATATAGGCCATGAAAAACACAAATAAATATAAATTCTCGTAAAGTTGGAATAGTGCTCTAGGAAGATTATTATAGGAGCAATGCTACGTTCACAAACAGAATGATCACAAACTCCACAAACTTACTATTTATGGTTTAAATTCTTATTTTAAAATTATTTACACTATTTAATTTTCTTTATTGAAGTTCACAAATGGTAAGTTTGTAAAATTTGTGAAGTTTGAGTTTGTGAACCAAGCATTTCCCTTATTATAGGACGGAGGGAGTATCACTTTTCTTTAAACTCGTATCAAAATTCAGAGCAATTGTCTTCCTTCTTATTTTCCTAATAAAGTAAAAACAACGTGATCCTAATCTACAATCTTTCTGTTTCTTCTAATCAAATTTCAACAACTCGTTTTTTACTTTTCGACACTTTTTATAAGTTTCATGAAATCGACCCGAGACAATTAACTAGTGACGGAATGAGTCGAAAAATATATAAATTCACATTTGAAACGCTTAGGGTAGGAACTAGGAACATATAAAAAGGAATCAAATCTGAGTTTTGTCTATGTTTCATAAAAAAAAATAAATTAAAGTTTGACATCCCCAAAAAAAAATAATCAAAACGCACATATCTTGTGACCTTGAAATTCTCATTAAACTAACGGGGTAACGGCCGACTTCAAGACTGACCCGCTTCTTAAAAATGGTAGCTGAGTGCCCAACCACCTTAGTTAAGTTTTGTCCGGGTTCCCCCCCATAGCTCTCTTATTCTTGCTTATTCACTCCATTCATTTAGTTCACATGTTCAATCTCATGTCCTCTCAAATCCCTAGTAAGTACCACAATGTGTACTTTCGTTGTACAAATGTTCCTCCCTTTAGTTAATAAAAAATGTAGAATGCCGGCCCAAGCGAATTTAGAACCCTGGCTCGACGGTATAGTAAGAAGTTATGTCACGTTAGGCGGACGATATGAAAACGGCGAGAGACGTGTATAGGCAGTAGAAGTCTTTGCACATACAATCATTTACTCCCTCCGTTCCACAAAACTCTTCCTCTTTCGTTTTTTTTGTTTTCCACAAAACACTTCCACTTTCTATTAAAAAACCACTTTTACCCCTACTTTTTCATACCCTACCTATCACATCATACTTTTTCTCTAATAACCAAACTATCACATTTACTTTTCTCCATCACATCAGGGGCAAAATTGGAAAGTCAACCAAAATTACACTTTTCTTATTTTTCCCCAAAGTCAAAACCGGAAGGGTTTTGTGGAACGGAGGGAGTATTATCTTGGCATGTCTCTGTGAAGCTTGATGTCAAAATGATGTCATCATCTTAGTGTCGCCCCAAGTTATTTGATAGCTCATTTTAATATCTGAACACGAGACATTTCTCAAAAGTTCAGATTAAGATTATGGGCCTGTTTGGTAATAACGTTAGCGATTAACGTTAGCGTTTTGAAAGGGCTATCTACGGGTAACGTTTAGCGTTAGCGTTTTCAAAGTAATCTACACTATTAAAATTTTATCCAAAACGCTAACGTTATTTCCAAACAGGTTAATTTAGTAGTCAGTATTCAATTTTGTGAAAAGAAGAATATGAAAAAATGACGGGGAAGAGCATTAAATGTGAGGGATAATGCAAAAAAAAGATTTATACCCCGGAGTATTAAATAGAACCATGTTTGATGATTAAATTAATTAACAATGACAAAAAACAAATACAATTATCATTAATCGTTACCGCCGGACAGAGGAGGATTCGGGTCTCCGGCGGCATTCAGGCGGCGGTGGCATGAGGCTGACGAGAAGGTCGGCAAACGCGCCGACGATGAATTTGTGGGCGCTTTTGGGGTTGAGAGTTAAATAGCACATGAGGAGCTCGTGCAGGCGGTCCCAGTTAGCTCTCACGTCGGTGAGCTGCCGCGCCTCCACCATCTCCTGCATCGATCGCCGGAAATCCAAGAACGGGTCCGGGGAGATCGTGGGCACGGCGACGCTCCCGCTGCCGAAGACGGCGTCGGGCTCCGTCGGGGACGAGAACGAGGTGGAGGCTCTGGAGGAGGACGCGGAGGAGGAGTCGACGATGGAGTTCGAGCGGCCCGGCGAGGAGAAGAAGAAGCGGCGGGAGGCCTGGACGGCGGCCAGGTCGGGGGCGGAGACGAATCCCGGCTCGCCGCCGTCGTATGCTGCCGCGGCGGAGAAGGAATCGGGGAAGGGAGCTGATTCCGAGGCGGCATCGTAGAGGGAGTTGAAGTTCTTGATGAAAAATGGACGGCCGGGATCTGGAGTTTCGCGTTTGGGGGACGGGGACTGGGACTTTGACTTGGAGAAACAGAGATTAAGGTTTCTTCCTAAAATGTTGTTTGGCATTATGTGTGTTTTCTTCTGCAATTACTAATTGGCTTTTCACTGTGTTTTATTTATGAGGGGAACAGAAAAGAAAGGGGGGGGG